TGAACAGGTCCCTGATCTCGAAGTCAGTCCCCGGTTCCACGCCCACACTCTGAAATACCCTCGAGCAGGCCATTTGATAGGCAACCCGGCAGCTACTCGGACACGCCGAGGCGTGAGAATGCGACGAGCACGATCGGGTCAACGGCACCATTCACTGCAAGATCCCCTCGAGACGGAGCAATTTGAGAAAGAGGGCCATCTACTTCTCAACTTGGCCCAAGGCCCGCGGTCGCTGGGAAAACCAACTTGAGCAACAACCAAGGGCCAGGTTAGAAAAATAGCAAAATGACGCCATCGACGACTTTGTCAACGTGCCGTTAAATATCACCCGGTCACTGAATTTATCGACGATTCGTCTTCTCGGGATTACGGCGTATGTTACTTTCGAGTCATGATTCATCACCACTGGGCGTTGTATCCCACCTCTATTGATGCAGAGTACAAGAGCTTCAGCCCTCTTGGCGGGGACCAACAGCACCGCGGATCGCCAACTCTGAGGACACAAGGTTGTCATGGGAGAGTTTCGGTTGATTGTTATTGCGCTACTGCATTTGGGATGACGGGTTTTCATATTCCGGCAATGGATACTAGTACATACCCTTGATGGCCTGATATCCAGAATGTCTTGCACGGAGTTACAAGGATTTTGTGCTTCTATTCCTGGGACCTGAGAAGTTTTTAGCGACGGCGCTGGAAGGAACTTCTCTCCGCGTTCATCTTTTCTTTTTTGGGTGGATAATGGAAAACGTCGATATTTTGATGAGCTATGGGAGATAGCAAATGGTGTGCGGGCCAGTGAACAGGAGGCATCTCTAGATCCTTATGGGAGGGGAGGAAGGGCGAGGGGCGAAGGATGGGACAGCCACTCAGGATGGCATCAGTCAGCCATCAAGGTCCACCGAGCCCAACATGGGGACTTGTGCAATATGCCCCGCTATCCATATATACATGTCGAACATGGAGTCTCAGTCCTCAATGAAGCGATGGACATTGTTACTGTTTTCGACATCCACAGCCGCTAACCTCGCGACCAGTCTTCCCTCGTCTTAACACCCCTATGCCTCAATCTCAGCAAGTGCATGCCTGAGGTCGCAGATTGCAGAGGGCTGATTATTCACCATCCACCAGAGCGCCTACGCGGTCAAGTTCCGATCCAGAAGGACATCTGATCTTGCGCAAAGCCGGCCGCAAAGGGGGGGTTCCCCATCCTGATTTCCTTGTAAGGCAGGAAGCCGAGGGAAAATATTGCAGGTGGCAAAGATCCAGATACAGCCTTTGTGGGCAATTAAGCGAAGAAAGCATGGTGACTCCGGTGGATGTTCGTTTCCGGCGTCGCCGCGCGGTGACCCATCAAAATACGCCATCTGCGACGCACTAGAGAAACAGGAACGGACGTCATTCCTGTTCTGCGAAGATTGTACGTTGCGCGCGGCCTAGTTTAACTGCTTACTGTACTTGTACGTTCGAAGGGAGATCGACCGGGCCCACGCCGACAGCATTGCGTGAAGCGGAAAAATACACATGGGCAGACCGTCCTGCTCCCAGTCACTGGTCTGACTGACTACTTCCCTGCCTGACTGCAGAGTCCAGTTTTTCTCTCTGCACGGAGTACTGGTTTGTACCAGGTCATGAACGATCCAATCGGATATCAATGGCCCAACTGCCCAATGCGTCCTTGCCTGCTGACGAGCTTACTAGGTGCTCATTGTGGTGGTGGACGACGGCCAGGAGGAGATGTTACTCGTCGGTTGGAAGAAGGATTACTCTCTGTTGCAGCGAACCAACTAACTACTGGACCGAGCTCCACGCGTTTCGTCGAGGGCTCGGAGGATTTGTAACGAACGGCCCATCAAAAGGACATCTCAGCCTGTCAGGGCTTGTGAGATTGCGCAGGTACACAGCCAAACGTGTATGTTTAGGTGGGGGCTCAAGTGCCTTGATTTCTCAACTGCCGTCTGACATTTTCGCAGATTTGTACCGGTACGGGTAAGGCCTGCCGAGAAAAAGGAGGTGGTGGAGCAAGCAAGTACCTAAGTAGTTACTTGTACTCAGTACCGAGTACTACTCGCAACGAGCGAATGCCGCAGCGGGCGAAAGTTCCTCCTGAAAAGGGAAAAAGGAAATGAAGCACACAAAAACAGATATTGCCCTTTTCTTCGGGCTGACTACGGAGGACTTGGGGTCGCTACATCACCAGGCGGGACTCAATAGGTAATCCCGCGTGCAAAGCAGTTTGTACCTCGTACATAGCACCAACAGCCGGAAACCAGGCTGCATGAGACCTAGAGAAAGGTTCACGCGCCGAAGAACGGAGTAGTCTATGTAGGTGAGAAAGGCGAAAACACTCTGTCGTCTTCGGAGGAACCGTGAAAATGGTAACGACTGACTAAAGGCACAATTCAACGTCAATGCTGGGCTACATACTCTGTAATACCATATATAGCAGGCACTGCAGACCTGTCGAGATCGACGTTGCGGATCAGTTTGATGTTATTACCTACCCTGTAAGGAGTAGAGATATTCTACCGAGACAGCAGTGAGTTCCCTCACCATCTCAACGAGACACAGATTACTATTCACATAATACTACGGTGCAAAAACAAAAACAACAGCAACAACAATAACAATGATTGCAAGAATAATATTAAAGCAGCGACCGTGAAGGGCGCGAGGGTGATCTTATAAAAGAAGGCTAGTGAGGCCTAGCCACCGGGCTAGCTGTGTCCGCTCAGAATCAAAGTCGTACCTGACATAACCATAAGCAACCCTGCCAGTGGTTGTTGTTCGCTGTTTCTTTTTCTCTTGGACAAGTGTGAGTGCGACCATGTGTCCAGGCACCTGAACATCCAAGCAGGTCGTTGATCACGTCCGGCGACCATCCATGGCTCCCTAGTTCCTTCACTTATAGCGCTGCCGACTCCAAGAAACAAAGCCACCACCCCGCTTGTCTGGTGACTCGAAGTGCAGGCGCTGCGCGTGCACCGTTGCGGCGTTCTTCTAGCAAAGTAGCTAGGTAGGTACCCGAAAAGTGACAGGTCATATGTCCTACTCGTATATGCATAAAGCCCGTCTGGAATGGGACTCGGTCATTCGGGGTGCGAGTATGTACTAGGCGAGCGGCGTGCAGAGCAGTGCAAAGCCAACTTGGTAAGAGGAGACAAAGAGAGAACAGCCACCGAAGAGAAACAAAGAAAAGAGAACTTCCGTATCGAGTTCAGCTGGCGCCCTGAACGACCATTTGGAATTGCACCATCTACCAAATCAGTCACTCACCACCATCCATCCACCATGCATTATCCATTATCCATTATCCGCAGCTGGAAATCCCTTCCGTGGCATGGATTCCGACCGTTTCTGGAGCACAGGGGCCCAAGGGACGAAGGGTTGGCGCCAGGGGAAATGCGGAAAAACAAAAGCCACAGTTCGGCATCCGCATCGCCAACGCGCAACGCGAATGCGGTCCCGGAGATCCAGTCAAGACGGCGATGGGTAGTGGGTAGTGGGTAAAGGGTTCCAGGTGGGACACCTCGCGGCTCCTTGCTCCTACATACCCGTGGCCACCATGATGCACGGGGGATGGAGGAGGAAGTGCTTACATATCAAGACCTCGGTAGGTAGGTAATATAGGTACTGTAGGCAATACATAGATTACTCGCGAACAAAAACCTGATTGCCACACTGTTTGATCGTGCTAACAAGTAATTGTAGTACCAAGTACAAGAGGGTGAGCGAAGGCCTCTTTAACCGACCCGACTTGACCCGACTTGACCCGACCAGCCTCTGGGGGCGTAATATTTCGACTTCCTGCGATCGGCTGCCCCTATTGGGTCCCTTCTCAGCTTTGCCGTCTGTTGCAGCTCAGCCTCAGTGAATGTGGGAAGTTCCTCCCCTTCTGCGGCTGCCTCAAATCTGGTTGAGGGGTCCCAAACAGCTCCCGACGACTTTCGGTAAAGTTGTGCCTAGCACACAGCGCTAATTAAGCATTGCGGCGACCGTAGCCTCGCCAGCCCAACCCAACGTATCTGTGACGGAGACACCATCGGAGGTCAGGACCTGGGCAGGTTGCGAGACTGGCAGACTCTCACACCCGCATTGCATCTTGTTCGTTAAAATCTCGTCGCTATGAAAATAGACCGTCCGCTACTATCGTCAATATCCCGCGGCTACCGGCCTTTACTCTTCTCCAAGCTCTCCTGATTTGCTCTTCGGGCTCTTTGGTTTGGCTGCAGAGTCGCCAGTCTCCTCGAACTTCAACTTGAGTTGCGAGACTCGACTCGATGCCTTGGGCTGAGGAGCGGCGATGGCGTTTCACCGTCTGGAGTCGCGCTGTAACTGTCTCTTCGTCGACGAAGGCTTGGCCGAGACTTCGGCCGAGATTGGATCGCGGATACTATGTCCGCTTCATAGGGTGGTCGCCGACACCAGTACAGCTCTGAATGCTGTCTATTATTCAAGATCTGGTGATCAAATAGCCCACCCATCCCTGAAGATGACAAAATGAGCTACTAATGGAAGAGATGGTGGTTACAAACAAAGAGGACAAAGAAATCACAACTCAGGAACTTTCACCATCCGCTCAATCCACTACTAATCGACATTTGACCATTCTATCTCCTTTCCCTATGACTACGTCTATGACAACGTCGCCGATCCTCATCATCACGCTCTCGCCGAGGATTAGGGGCCACGATGTTAGTTCTTTGCTGAATTAAGAAGTTCTCCGCGCTCACCGGTCTGCTCCCATTGGTACGTCGCAGTCCCAGCACTCCGGGAGTCGGTTCTTCAAACATTTCTCCGACATGGGCTGTGACTGTCATCACGCCGAGCCCTCCAGATATACCCGTGGCCAAAAAAACAATGGGCCCCAGTGGAGGAGTAACTAGGGAGGTTGTGGCGACAGCGACAACGGTCCCTATCCAAGCTGCGCTTGACCCAACGAATGTTCCCAGGGTGGCAGCTGACCCCACTCGCTAGGGGTCGATACATGTTACAAACATGTTTTAGTTCGATGGTATGGGCGGAGGTTTTGTCATAGTCGGTAGGTTGAGCCAGACATAGGCCTTGGAGTCGTGGACTAACCCTTGAACAGTAAATGGAAATAAATCGGCCGGGAAAATCAACGGATCTTTGATGACCAGAGGACGGTATGCTGGGATGATAAGGTGAAATCGTGTTTTCTTGTCGTGCTCGTCAATATATTGTCTGAGAAAGGCCATCCACAGGCAAAGTGGATCAAGATTTTCCGAGACACTAAGGAGGTTTGGAGGCAGCGGCTCTCGGGAGACGATGTCGAAGAAGTATCCACGCCAATCGGTGTCGTGGTGATACAAGAAGTGAAAATGCCGAGCGCCGTCTTCGTGGGCCAGCGATGTTTCGTGGACAATGACTTTGTGGACTTGCTTTGTAAAGGTCTTTGGAGCAGTGAGGCCTGTCTGAGCCTCCAGCTCACGATGGATTTTCTGGCCGATTTCTTCGAGAGCAGATGAACCTTGAAGGACTTCGACGAACTGAGCGACGACACTCATGCCATTGAGGAAAGCTGAAAACAACTCAAAGGCATTCTTGCGCTTGAAGAAGGTGGCGAGAGAATCCGCACATGTTTGGATACTCGACATGAGCTGGATAGATACCATCCTGTCCACCCGTTCCAGCCCTTGGACCAAAGAGGCCATTCCACATCATACTCACCGTAGCAAGGCGCATAAAAGGCCTTGCATCAGGACAGCACATTCTCTCCTCTTTCATTGTCAATCTACGGCCACATGCAGCGACTTAACCAATCGTTCCGCAGGAGGTATACCGGAAAAGGTACTGTGGCTTGATCAGGTGCCCATCCTCCCAATGAGAGGTGCAACGTGCTGGCTCAAGCTGCCCTGGGCGTTTGACTTCAGACGCAGGATCGTCCGATGAGATCTCATGGGGTCGGCGACTGGAGACAGGAATGATGCCGACTTGTCAGACATTTGATCCATATCTTGTTCACGAGGGGGGAGATGTTTGTTTTGTGGCGATCGTGGTTCACCCTTGGTGCTGCTTTTGTGCTGTTACCTAAACTTCCCAGAGCATTGGACTTTTTGGCAGTGCCTGGTATGATGGAAGCAAGGGACCAATCCGATAAATCAGGTCAGGAACCTATCAAATCGAAGCTCGAACAGGTTGTTGGATTGATTGGAATCTAGGACCCTCCGTTTTAAGCATTGCTACGACCCGAGATATCGCGTTCTCAACTACCCGGCTCCTGTCTATGATTTTCCATGTCTTTGGTTCTAGAATGGGCAGGGACTGTTCGTGAGCAAGCAGCACTACTAGCGGGGTGCATGAACGTTGTGCTTCGTCCATTGACATTAGATAGCGATTCTCCGATCGCGATATTAAGGCGCCTCCCCCACAACTTCGCAATTTTCCGATACCAAGGAACACCGAAGAAATAGTCGCCCTCCAGGAAGCATCCGATGACAATAGAAATGGCTGTGGAATAAATACGTTTAAATGATGTGAGTGCACTTTCTCTTTTACTATGCTTTCTTTCAGAGTACATATCGCTTTGAGACCATTCTCTTGCGGACTATATTTTGTTCCAGAATACTCCATACATCTCGACCATTCCAAGCTTCCAATTTAGTGGACGCAATGGGAGAGTACAGATCTAGACCGCGCTCATCTGAGGGCGAGAAAACCCAAGTCCTGCGACCCTTCCACCTTACGGCCACTGGTTACAATCTCAATTACCTCCCCGAGTATATCGCCCTCCGGCATGGCTTCTTCCGCGAGCAAGGACTCGACGTCAGGGTGAAGATCCCTACACCCTGGGACGGCGTGCTCGACGCGCTCGCCGACGGCACCGCCGACATGGCTCTGGGCGGCATCTGGGTACCGTCCATGTACCGCGACAGAAGCCAGCACTACACCGTGTTCGCGCAGATCGCGAATCGCTGCCCTCTTGCCCTCCTCCGACGCGGCCATGGTGACGGCTTCAAGCTGGCCGACATGGTCGGAAGTACCGTGCTGATGAAGTCGGGCGGTGGAGCGAGCGTGGGTCTTTTCTTCAAGATGCTCCTCCGCGAGAACGGTATCGACCCCAAGTCGCTGGATTACATCCAGGACCTCGACGGCGTGATGCTGGGCAACTTGTTCCAGGGCGGCATGGGCGACTACTTCATCACCGACAACCTGTCTGCCTTGGCCATGGCCGAGCACAATCCCGGCGTCTCAATCGCCATGGAGATGGTCTCGCAAGGCGACATCCCGTGGAGTGTCTACTACCGAGAGACGGCGCCGCTCACCCCGGCCATCTTCGACACCCAGAAGCGCTTCTATGTCGCCCTGGTCAAGGGTATAGACTGGGTACTCCGGCATGACGCAGAGTCGTTCCGCGGCGAACTCGCCGAGCTCTTCCCCACCGTCCCTATCGACGTCGTTGTCCGCGTAACCAACCTTTTCCGCCGCAACGGCATGTGGACGTCCACTTCTGTGTCTCGCGCTGGTTTCGACCGATGGCAGCAGGGCCTCGCCGATGCACGCCTGGTCAAGGAGCCTTTTGCTTACGAAGCGATTGTCAACGACGAAGTCGCAGCAGCGGCACAATGGGCGAAATAACGACGCCACCACCATCCCATCGGTAGTCAGTCTAGCCATTGGCAACACGGACGCTTTTCACGTTACCGGAGATAAAAAGGGAGAAAGAGAGAGAGAGGTCCTCGTTCATATTCCATTTGATTGACGTACGTGGATAGATGGCCCGTGATCAAGTTTCTTACCGTCACCGGCGACTAAAGCCGCGTCATGTCAACAAAATTCTCATAGCATTTTACAATTCGTATGGCTAGAATGCTCCGTCAGACTGATCCCTCGTTCTTCCTGCGTCTGACACAGGTTCGGCGCATTCTGTAGACTTGATTAATCTCATCGTTATCCGCATTCCAACAAGTCGCAGTCCTCGCTTCCGATTCTCCCCATACAGCTTTTCTCTGGTGTATATTAAACAGTCCCGCAGTGTGTCGGGAACTCCCACCATCATCGCGCTCGCTCGTACCAGAGCTTGTGGCAATCGAATCGCACATCGCTGAAATCCATGTCCTGGCAATCGGGCCATTGCGCGGCAGAACTGAGCATCTCACTAAAGGCGTCGGTGGACAGCATGCCCGACATGGTGTTGAGGCTGGTTTCGTTGGCCGTTGTGGACATGCCCCCCATGCCTGTGCCCGTGCTCACGCCGCCTCCACGGGATGATGGCTGTAATTGCTGCAGGAGATCCTCGACCTGTTTCTCGAATTCGGATTGGTTTTCGCGTTTGTTGCCCTCGGAGTCGGCGGCGACGAGCCGATCAACCGTCGCCGCGGAGAGAGTCTCAAAGACGTCGCGGCAGCCTGCGGCGCCAGGGAAGCTCTCTGACAAGGCGGCGAGCGTGGAGGCGCAGGATTGCAATGTGGAAATACATTTGCTGACGGGGTTGCGGTCGCGGATCTCCTTGGAGAGCCACAGGCCGTAGATGGCTCCCAGGCCGGCCATGAAGAGGTGGTGGACCCATTTCCACAGCACGTCGATCTTGCCCTCGCGCTGGAGGATCTTGATGCTTGTGATCAGCTTGCACGAGGCGTCAAAGGAAACGACTAGCCCCTCCGTCGACGTGTAGAGGACTGTGGTGTTCGGCCGGTAGAGCAGGAGGATCGCGTTGTTGTAGATGGCGTCCCAGAAGGCCTGGTAGGCAAAGATGGACGAAGGATGGGCCTGGCTTGGTGGCGGAACAGTCGTGTACCATTCCTGGAGACGGGGTCGCATGTCCCGGACCCAGGCTGCGTAGTCTACCCTCGGGTAGGCTATCTTCGGAGACCAGGCTTGGGTGTGCTGGACATGCTTGATTTCAGACTCGAGTTTCGACATGCTGAACAAGTGATTGTGAGCGTGTTGGCTGTGCACGTCAAAGTCGTTGGGCTCACTGCCAGGAGTCACCTGGCGAGATCGAGATACCGCCGATGGATCTGGAAGCGGGACAGACGTGCTTTCGTCGATAATGCCAAAGGGGCGACCGAGTGTGATACACAAGATACGGTCAAATTGGTAAGTAGAATACCACAAGCGCCGGCGTTGGTATAGCAAGGTTAGAGCCATATTCAGAGACTGCTCTTCGGTTTCCCAATGCAGGCCCATGTCAATGCATAATCGCAGGGCGATGCCAGTCAAATGCCACAGGCTTCCCCGAGAAGGATGCAGGGCGACGAATTGAGCTAATAGGAGAATAGAGCGGAGAGTGTCGAGATCGCTCTTTGAGTAAGTAATAACCTTTTCAGTCCAGCTGATGGCTGATCGGAAGCAACCCTCACTTTGGGTCGGCCGGCCTCCAGATGGATTGGGGACGTCGAAGAGGGCTATGGCGAAGATCATGTAGGTCGTGAAAATGTCCTTCTCGACTTCCCTGTCCGAGGGCGGGCGGCCGCTAACCGAGAGGTATGCGCTTTCAAGGGCTTCCTCCACCTCTGACCGCTCCACAATGGGCAGATGGGGCGTGCGGTGTTGGAAGTAGACATTGACCAAATGATCTGCGGCATGGCGTGGTGGGAGAGAGGCTTCGGCTGCTGGGGCAGATGAAGATGGCTCATACGAGCGCTGCTCAGAAAACAAAGGAGAGGGCAGGCTGTCGACGCGGATGGCTGCTATGACCAGCCTGGCGAGCGTGATGCCACTGCTCTGTCCCAGAAACCGCGGCTGTCTTGACGCTTCGGCGACGACGTTCCTGACGCTCTTGACCAAGTCCTGGAAGTGGCTCAAGCTTCCATCAGACGCGGCTGGACTGGATGTTGGAAACGGCTTCGGTTCAAGTCTCATGGGTGAATAGAGCTCGAGGGAAGTGGTATTTTCGCTGTTGGCCGGGCTGCCCTGAGCTCGCTGTTGCAGTTCATGATTCTCCCGAGTCAACTTCTCGACTTGTGCCTCTAGATCGGACACGTAGCTGCGAGGTACCTTTGAGACATTCAGTCCCATGCAATCGGATTGCGGTCGACGTGCAGTCTGTATCTCCACTCACCTCGGCTTGTTTCCCCGAGTGATAAGTCAAGCACACAGCGTGTGCGCTTTCGCAATTGGAGCAGCTCGGATATTTCAGATCACACTGCGCATTTCAACCGATTGATTGTCAGCGGCGTGATCAGGATACTCGGGCTGGAGCGAGTGCTATCGATCACTACCTTCTGCTTTCTCCGACGGCACCTGTGCGAGCACCTAGTCAGCCTTGTACAGGTGCGGACGTCCCATTCGACTCACCTCTGACACGCAGTCACCCCTTTAGCAAGTCTTTGTCCCGCACGCACTGGCGAATCCATTTGTGATGTCCTGATTCCAGAACTCACGTTTCGCCGCTCCAAGTTGTCATCGTCGACAGCAACAAACCTGTTAGGTACGGGTAGATATCCAAGATATCCGATATTCGTAGTAGGCTTTCGGAGTAAGCCGATCACAGCCAATCGCCCATGCTACTAACAAACTCAGTAATACGAATGCTAATCAATGCTCTGTCCAAGGGCTGCTGCGCGACTCATACCAGAACTTGCCTTCCTCGCTTCCAAAGAACCAGGATCCTCAGCATGCCGGAAAAGAAAACAGCTGCCATGCTTCGTCGGCCTTCCCATTGCAAATCTCTCAGATCTATCTGGGTTAATAGCGGTCGTGATAAGTTGGTTCGGCTTTCCCCGAAGGGATAGAGTTGAAGCCTTATCAGGCTGTCAAGTTGTGCATGTCTAATATTCAACACCAAAGTAATTCCCTTGCTAGATCATAGATATATACTGTACAGTCAAGTATATAAGATGACAAAACTTGCCGGTCTTCCATCCAGCGATCACTCGCGGTCCCTCAGAATCTACAACCCAGATCCTCAACGGATTGTCTCCGGTATAAGCCACCGAAATGCAATTCGAAGCAACAATGGAAACGAAGACCCCTGTGGTTGACCTCGACATGAAGAACCCTATCAATGACTGTGCTTCAGAAGTAGCTGGCTCAGTGGCAGTCATAGATATCGACCCCGTCAGGGAGGCAGCCGCACGCAGAAAATTCGACATGTATGTCGTGCCAGTTTCATTTATCTTCCTTGTCCTGTCTAGCCTGGACAGAAACAACGTGAGTGAAGCGCTTGTCCTTGCGAAAAAGCCATGGCTAAGAATTGACCAGCTTGGAAACGCGAGAGTCTTCGGCTTCGACCAAGACATTGGCCTCCATGGAGGCCAGTTTGGAAACATTAACACGCTGTCGAGCGTCTGCACCATCATCTTTGAGCTCCCCTGGGTTCTCGCGGTCAGGCGCTTTGGAGCCAACAAAGCAATCGGTACAGCATTCGTCATATGGAGTGCCAGTACGCTTGGAACCGCCTTCATCCACACCTACGGTCAAGCCATCGCTTGTCGCATGATTTTGAATGCCGCCGAAGCAGGCCTCGCTCAGAGCTTCGCCTATCTGTTTTCCACCATCTATCCCCGGGAACTGGCAGGAAAGCGGATCATGACAACGAACCTCGCCCAGTGTGTTTCCGGGGCCTTTGGAGGTCTGTTTGCGTATGCTGTTCAGACCATGGGATCGAAAAATGGACTCGCGGCCTGGAGATGGCTATTCATCATCGAATTCTTGATCACTATCTTCATCTGTGGCATTGGCTGGATCTTCATCCCAGAGACGGCCGAATCGGCGTGGTTTTTGAACGCGGAAGAGAAGGAGACCATGCGTCTGAAGAAACAGCGCGACATCGCTCTCAGGGGAGAAGAAAAGTTCGAACGCAAGTGGATCAAGATTGCTCTTACGGACCCCTTTGTCTGGCTCCTGGGCATAGCGTTCTTTACTTCGTCTGTGGCCATCAACGGATTCGGGGTCTTCCTGCCTACTATAATTTCTGGTCTTGGGTGAGTGATTTACCCATACTGAATGAGAATCCTTCGAACAACTGGCTGATTTGGTTTTAGATATGCCTCCCTTCGGGTCAACTACATGACCATACCGGTTTATATTCTAGGTGCCATATCTCTTGTCACTCAAGTCTACTTTTCCGATAGACTCAGAAAGCGAGGCGTCTTTATCGTCGGTTGCTGTGTCCCAGTTGCAGTAGGATATCTCCTCTGCGTAGGGACAGCGAATCCTCATGCTGGTTACGCCGGCATGTTCATCCTCGTCCTAGGTAAGCTCTATCCAACCATTTCTCCTGATATATCGAACCATCTAACGCGCCTGACCCAGGCCTCTATCCCATCTCCACACTGGCTGTGACTTGGATCTCCACCAACCTGTCCCCAGACAGCAAACGTGCAATTGGAATGCCCCTGGCATATTCGATCGCAAATGTGTCCGCCGTGGTGTCGTCACAATTATACCCCAGCCAACAGGGCCCACGTTACATCCAGGGCAACGCAATCTCGGCTGGCTTGACGGTCGTCGCCGGGTTCCTCTACGGCGCGTGTTGGCTTCTGCTGCGGCGTAGAAATATCAAGAAGAGTAAGCTTATTGCCGAAGGGGCCACGACAAATGGTCTGGAGGGAGATATGAGTCTTGAGACTATGTACATTCTGTGAGCAGCGCTGAGACGATTGGAGAACAAACCTTTTGGGCCGCGAGAGAACTCCGGGGCACTTGGAATTAAGGAGGGATAACAGAACGAAATGTACGTAGCCTCGTCATGTGATTCAAAGAGGACATGGTTAATTTCGCTTTGAAGGGGGTTTAATGTTACTCCCCTGCCAAGCTTCAGCCTTGTCCGGGCGGAAACTGCCCCGGTTTGTCCTGTCCGGTAGGCAGACACAGCAAATATGTGTCTGTCCATCATATCGCTCAAGACGCTCGTGATAAGTGCAAAGAGTCGCTGGAACTTGTCACTTAAGTTTGGCACTCCCCTCTGGCTCTTGCCTTTTCCTCGCTCGCCAGGGGCACTTCGCATTAAATCACCCTCAATCGGCCCAGCGGCCTGACGACCTCCCAAAAGAAATCCTTCTCTAAGCCGGGCTCTTCAAACCCTGTGACAATGTCGCTCCACTGCCCAAAATCCTCATCCAACCCCATGGCTAAGCCCTGCAAACACTTCAAGACCACGTCGCGATACGTCGAACCCATCTCCGCCGCCATCTCCCGCTTAGTGACCTCGATATATCTGTTACGCCAGTCGCGGGACCGCCGGCCGCTATCGCTCGGCCCGAAATCCTTCATCTGCTCGCGGTCCTCCTCGGAACCGAGTACGAAGATGGGCTCCCAGAACGCGATCTCCAGCAACACGACACCGAGGCTGTAGATGTCGTAGCTCCGTCGGAAGCGAGGGAAAGGAATCTTGCTGCTGCGCGACACAAGCCGGGCAGGGTGCACGTACATGTCCAGATCACCGATGCCCCGCCCGCTGTACTCTGATTGGGGCTGGTACTTTTGGTCGTCCGGCCTTGAGTACTGCCAGCCGGACACAAAGGGCCGGGAGATGTCCAGCTCACCCGTAGTGCGGTTGCGGAAGAACAGAATGTTGTAGCTCGAGAGTTTGCGATGGATCCAGCCCGCACATTGGAGCTGGTAGAGGGCGATGGCGAGGGACTGGGCGAGTTGCATGCGCTTCTCGAGGCTAGGGGTGGCTCCGTTGTCTGAGTTGTAGGCTTCGTCGAGGAGTGTGCGGAGCGTGATTGGGAGGATGTTGGTTGTCGCGGTTGACGGGTAGCGGTAGACGAAGCCGACCAGGGGCATCCGTTTACCATCTGGCGTGTAGCCTGCCGACAGGGTGTAACCCAGGCAGTCGAGGACACGGAAGTCCTCATCGGCGACGGCGGTACGGTGCAGGAGGCTGACGACGTGCTCGCGCCGCGCCGACAGCTCTTCCTTGGAGAGTTGGGAGCGGGACGTTTCGGCTGCTTGAAGACGCCATTCGATCAAGACGACGATAGGCGAGGACTGAGTGTTATTTTCTGTTGTCTGCGGAGGGACAAGAGTTGTTTCGCTGGAAGTGGTGGCGAGTGGTTTCTGGCTCGCGGTATGATTGCCTTTAGAAGCGGGACCCTGAGAAAAGTCCTCAGCGGTGTCCCTAGGAGTGGCCTTGTTGATCCCCTCAGGAAGTTCTTTGGGAGGAGTGGCCGTTAGAGAGTCATCGGCAGCGTCTGTAGCGGGAGCTGTAGGTTGATAGAGACAACAAGATCGGGGAAGGGGTACATAGTTCTCCGGTCCACGGAAGTCTGCCTTTTTCGTTTGGGCATGATGGTAATCTAGCTCCAGCTCTCCGAGATGTTGGAAATCAGTCAATGGGATCTCCCAGGAACTTGTTCTCGTTCTCAGTGGGTCGGAGGAGAAGGCGGCCTTGGACTGTAAGCCCAGTTCATTGAGCTCTTCTTCGTCGTCCTCACCCTCATTGTTGTCATAATCCTCACCATAACCATAACGCCGAGATTTCTCCGGGCTAGATGCACTCTCGTTCTTCTCTGTTTGGTTGCGCTCCCGAAGCGACAGAATCCGTGCCGTCTTGGCCTCTTCTTTGTTCTCTTTGTCCGTCACACTCGGAACAGCCTGTAGCTTTGACGGTCCATCTTCGTTGATAGTTGACAGAAACTCTCCAGCTAGACCCCGACCTAGGCTTTCCTTTTCGATGCGTGGCAACAAGTTTTCCAGTCCATCATTGAAACCAGTAAGGTTGGAGAGGAGCTCTTCGAGCACGCCCTTGTCCTTGATGGCAAAGCGAAGCTTGGTGACAAAACTGGTGGACTTGCTGGTGTCTTTGATCTGGGATTTCTGACGTTGACCGGCCTCTACTATCGAGACTGGGACGTCCGGTGGCTTTGCTGGTGTCGAAGTCGCATATTTTGGCATTTTCTTCTGCCACTTTTCTAGGATGTCGTGGATGCGACCGAGGATCTCCATTACTAAGCCTCTCAAGCCTGGGATCTCGAGAATGGCGTCGATGTCGTCAAGAGATTGGGTCAGGTATGGCTGCTTTGCAGTCGTAGAGCTTCCGGGCTGTGCACTCGAAACCCCTTTTCCTTCCTTAAAACTTGTAATATCCTGCAGCTGTTGGACTAAGCCCCAATTTCGACCCCAGAGGTAAAGCCGACATTCCTCAAGTCGGAAACGAACGCTCAGGGTGAGAGAGCAGTCGCTGGATGTAAGAGCAACGTTCAATGCGCGATAGCCGTGGAGGCATGTCTGCAACACCGACGCGAGAGAAGCGGTGGTCACCGCGAAGCTAATGGGGTCCATGTTGATGCCACGAGGTACTTGCAATTGAGGCGACAAGTCTTTTAATTCCAATACATTGTCACGAAAATAAGCCTGTTGATATGTCTTCGCGAGGTGAGGAGTTGGCGAGCCTCACTCGCTTGATCGTCAATATGACCCCCAACATTTACGTACACCACTAAATGTTAGCAGATGCGAGCAGACTTTTGGTGGTTGATCTGGTTGGCTGAACACCAGGCAACAGCAGCGCCTTGCCAGCACAAACTGGTTTCGGAGAAGCCTTTTCCAGGCGGCAGGGGCCGAGGTGCCCCCAACTTCCTGCGTGTACCTGGTGTGGTTCGTTGATATCCTTGCAATTTGACCAGCATTGGGGGCTGAAATGTGTAGCAGGCAGCCGAAAGGCAGAACTTTAGCAGCAAACTTCAACAGTACAAACTTTAACAGCTTCAGGGCCGCGAGTATCTGTTCCTGCATGCTTCATCACAAAGCCCTCCCTCACATTCAGCTATGAAAGCGTCTTTGTGGGCGGCCCGCGGTCACTGATACAGATTAACCTACCACTCGGCATCATGGCATCTCAAGCATCGGGAGAAGCCTGTGGCAATTCAGGCTCCATCAAACACTGGCAAGCTCTACGAAGAGCATACTCATCAGGCGCGTTGAATCCCAATAGACCACAAGGCGATGTACACGAGATATCGTCCAAGATTCAGTGGCCCAACCGTGGAGACTATTACCACTTCCTCGAGTGCTTGAAACGTGCCGATGAGAAAAGGCGTAATACCAAACCGTCTGTGGCCTACTGTCAGTTATCTCAACTTGTTGTCGACCGACAGTACGGTAGTTTTTCCTTGCGCCACTGCATCCCAGTACCAGACGTGCTTGCTGGATCGAACTGGACAGACACCACCGCCGAGAAGCAAAAGCGCTACTACTGTTACCTGCGACCAGCAGTTCCCACGACAGAAACTAGGTATAGGAGTGGCGGAAAGCATCTCCAGTTTGACTTGTTTTGCACAATCTTCTACTCAGATGAATATCAATCAGCTAAACAGAAGCCTGGCGCTGATCGTCTTGTACGAGATCTTCGTAATGAGGCGATCAAGAGATCGCAATTGGAGAACATCAGTTCCCGCTCTATCAGTGCATTGCTCTTGAGGCACTTTGGAAACGGCATCTGCCTAGGAAAGTACTCTTCGGCTGGAGGATGGATGCCGCTGCCCTTAAAGATACATGTTCAGGTGGCGCCGGGGTCGTGGAAGCAGTGTTTGTTCATAGTCTTCGGCGATGAAAGTTTCTTCTTCTATCCCGTGGATGTCCCAGAGCTCAGAGAGGCCATTGTCAATGCTTGGGGTATTCGGCCTGTTTCACCTGTCTCACAGCACCTGACAGGTGTATCCGGGACGAAAAATCAGCCCTCTCGGAGCGAAAGTCCGCGAAAAGAACGAGAGACTGTGGAGACGAAGGCATTGTCAACGCAGCGACAAGGCGATCATCGAGGCAGGAGACAACGACATTCGCGCTGGGCCCTACGGGGTCCTCATGCAGGTGCGGCTGGGGCACGCAATCTCAACGCGCCATCTCAGCAGGTTGAGACAAGCGTGCAGGCTTCGCGTACGTCACCCGATGATGCAGTTGTCTCGAATCCGGCTCTTCCTATCCGTGGGCGAACTAGAAGGCGACTGCGGAGGCTTGATGGCTCTAGAATACTTCTTCCTTCTCAGGTCAGTACATCAGCCCCTCCCTCGGGCGGGCGGAGCGGTATCGAGTCATTTCAGAGTGAAGAAATGGATCCCATGTCATCAAGGGCCTTCAGACATGTAACCACGGATGTGAGCGTTGAATCGGACCAGGTTCATATGTTTATCGATCCTATACCTGTGACCATCAGCCAACGCTACGTCCAGAAGCCAACTACAGAGATAACAGACACTGAAGCCACTCATGACCATGATTTGCCCCCGCATTCTACTGCCGGCTCAATCTTAGTACCTGTATTGAGGCTTTCGAGTCACAATGCGAAAAACACTGGCAAGCTATCATCACAGCCCAGGACTGGCAAGGTCTACGTCCTAATGTCGTTTCAGACACCTCGAAAGAACTTGGTTCATAAAGGATTAGAGATGGCCGTGGCGGTCATCGAAGATCGAAACGGCTTGATTGGGTCGCATATGATCGAAGAATCGTTTGATCAGTGGGTCAAAGTTCGTCCGGTGCAGAACCTCCACAGAGCTTTGTTGGATGCCGACCATGAAGCCTTCCGCCTTGGGTGGGCCCAGAACAATGACACTCGGCCTTTGGGTGAAAGTGCTATTTCCGACTCGAGCTACTGGTATAAGTTTTCTCGCTTTGTCATGATCTCTACTAGCTCACGGAGCTTGCCATACTCGCATGGGTATGGCACTGTGAACAACAACCCGATTGTCTACGTGCGGACGGACCATGAGGCGATACTCGACGTGGACAGTATTACAGCCACCTCCCCATACCCACGCTCTCGAGCGACCTGGTCTGACGAAGTAGGTTCTGTATCGGTGCGTTTAGTTCTTGATACTGACAATGAGGCTATTTAGGTGGCAGACGGTTCAGCCCCGGAATGTATGTGTGGATCCATGAGAGTTGGAGGAATGCAACATAATGTCGAAAATTGCAAGCTCATCATAAAAAGGGAGCCAGGACCTTGGGAAAAGAATCCTGCGCCAGAAGGTCTCCAAGAAGCAGTATACGCAGAGACTAAAGCATCGACGTTTCTTACAGAAAAATCACCCGTCAACTCTCGGCATGGGTATATCAACATCAAATCTCACAGATTTGCCGCCGACACAATTCTAATGGCAAGCAAGCAAGTGGGCTTCTGGAGACACAACCAAGGACCTGGAGCTCGCATTTCGCTCACTTGTCATCCTCCACGAGAATCGTCTTTTCAAGGGTTCATCGATCTTCGTTTAGGTGACCGACCTCTGAGAAGAGTGGCTTATCCTTTCGATTTCAGTCATTTACATCTGGTGGATTCCAAAACATTGGATCTACAACTGAAAAATCCGAAACTGTGGTCTGAGCGGAAACTTGAAGATTTTATACTACCTTTCCAGACCCCAGACAAGGAGATAGCTTCTATCCTTGATCTAGATGATCATGGGAATTGCTCATCCCAGAAGGCTGACGAAATTTACCTACTCTTTACTTCGCCTCCGTTTTATTGGGATACGCATGTGGTGGGATCGCTTTTGCATCTTGCCAGTCTCTGGGCTTTGCGGGATACAGTCAAGCTCTTACTTAGCAGGGGATATGATCCTAATGCTCAGACCTCGACTGAGAGTCTCGCCACCCCACTTCTCTGCGCTACGGCTGCGGAACAACCACAAATCATCCAGGATCTCCTCGCGGCAGGAGCACATCCAAATCCTCTTCGGCGGCCGGGATATTGGGGATCGTGCTCGATACCAAGCGTGTTCCATCTACTAGTAGACTGGGAAAGTCAAAGCGCAGCAATCCAGATTGCTTGGAGCGTCCTCCGAGCGGGAGGTGACATCAACTGGAAATATCAAGAGTCCGAACCCAAAGCATTCTCCCTCACACCTCTGCGGTACGCGATTTCAGAAGGAAAAGCAGAGCTTGTGGAAGCATTTCTTGACATGGGCGCGCACTTTGCGACTACCACAGTCTGGAGTCCGGGCCAGCGACGAGTTTGCCTCTTGGAGACACCCTCTACTAATGTCAGAATCTTGGAATCATACTTCAGATACATTCAACGCCATGACTACGATTTACCTTCAGACTTCTCCGCGACACCATTAGGTTTGCTGCTGGTCGAAAACGATGGGTCTGATAGAAGAAGCCGAAGAGGGTTTGACGATCCCACTGAGGCTATCTTCGCTTTTGAAAGTCTTCTGAAATTGCAGCCCGGCTATGAAGGAGAAGCCCTGGCAGCTATTGTTCGGCATGACCATCTATACCTTGCTGAGCATGTGTTGCACAACAAATTGCGGGCCGTGGAATCGCGATGGAAAGGGCTGAGCTTGCTTCATATTGCCGTCCTCTACGGAAGACCCAAAATGTGCTCACTCCTTCTGGGGCATGGTGCCAACGCGACTGCGGTCACAACCAAGCGGCAGCTCACTTGTCTACACCTTTTGGCAATGTTCCCGCGGAATCCAAAGGCCGACGAGGCGATTCTGTCCTCATTGCTTCCGATGGGTATCCCGATCAATGCCAAAGAAACTGTCGATGATCTGACGGCCTTCCACATGGCTGTCCGAAACCAGAAGACACATCTCCTCTCACCTTTCATTCAAGCCGGGGCAAACATCATGCTGCCCGTGTACGACAGACTTGGAATTCTCGCCGAGGGGCGTTACGGTAGTTTAAAGACCGTTTCTAATCGACCTCAGTGTGTCCTCGACGATATCCACATCACCGGCGAAGTGCTCTGGCAGTTTGTCCAGGACTCAGCCTACCCTTTGGAATTCGTGATCGTGCTCCTCGAAATTATCCTGCCTTCCACTGCAGGTGATAGCATATTCTATTTTGACTCCAAACGGACGGTCTCGCTCCTTCACGTCATCGCCACGGTTCGTGATAAGTCAGTGTTTGACAAGCTATTCAAAGCGGTCAGAGATCACTTTTCAGACAATTCATACATCCATGTCCCAGATTCCCATGGCGATTCTCCTTTACACTATGCTGCTGCTGTGCACAAGATCCATAACATCCGCACCTTAGTGTCAACCGGTGCTGACATTTCTGCAATGAACAAGCTGGGACTTGCTCCCCATGAATTAGCTGCTTGGTCTGCATTGTACTTAAGTGGCCGGTACATGAAGCTTACTCATGCCGGTGAAACACCTGTGGTGACGCAGGACCATTCGTGGGACCAGCCTGGACAGACCTACGGCCATGGGAGAAATTTCCGGGAGGTCCGTACCGAACTGAAAGCGGTGCTGAACTTTTTCAAGAAGCGCGGGCGTGAAGTTTCTCCCCCACTGGAACGGCTGGTCCTTGCCTGGAACGGAGCGGACATGCCAAAGGGCCACCAGACTTTCTCTCGGCAAGGCGTTGGCAAGCTTGCGCTGCATCTAGTGCCGATCGACGCGGTGGATCTCAAGGTTATCGGAGTCGATGGCCTTGAAATGGGCGGCATTGCTGCCAATGACGAAGGCAATGGAAAAAGTGATGGAGCCAAAGGCACAATTAAAACTTTTTACGACATGTCTATGTCGATCTCAACTGGCGATGACCAATTTTGGGGATCTCGGGAACGAAACGAATCAGAATTTGAGGACGAGAGCGGTGGCGAAGACGACGAGGATCAGGAAGCCCAGAGCAGTGATAACAGGGACGACTACGAGTCAACCGAAGCAGAAATCGAGGATGATGAAGAACCAGGGCCATCCAAGTGGCCGCAACATGGCTATCTGGAGCTGACGCCTGAGCAACAGACATACCTTGATAGCTTCTTCGTGGATGACACGCCACTGGCTGTGTTGATGGGAAGAGGGCGCGCGAAGAGTTTTAGTCTTTGAGATATGACCATATGATGAAGATAGGAACGGATGGATGAATACTTGCGACTAAAGATGCAATTGTAGCGTCTCTGGTTGAGCTGCAAAGCGCAATGTTGTTATAATCATATAAGGCCACTGCTTCTTCCGCCTTGGATCGGGCTTCGGATTTTTGCTGTGGAAAGATGATGTCAACCAGTGATATTGTTATGAAGGAGGTTTATGATTTGTACACACCCCGTACACATATAACCCAGGGATCTAAGATTCTCTCATGAAATGGCATGACCCGTAGCCATTTCCGGTGATCCTCAAAGGGCTGTTGACCTCTTATCTACACAAGAGGTAGTCAGGCGTTGATTTTTTAATAACGAGGCCGAAGGTGCTGTCGGGTCGGTGACTGCTTGTATTGTGTACTGTAGATGAAGAGTTGAACCGATCTACGGCCATAACTTGATTGATTGAGTAGGAAGAGAAGTTCTGCGTGATTTGTTAGGCTCAGATACCAGCCAGGCAAGTGCCAAGGTGCCGCAGCGCCAAGAGTCACCATCTTGCCTAATCAGGCTAGTTCAATATGAAGCAGCCTCCTTTAGCCACATGGCCGCATATGTACCAAGCGGCCAGTAGGCGCGTGGCGCTTTTGCATGGCTCGCAGCGCCAAACGTTCCAATATCTTCCGGTCCCACGACTCGACCGAATTCCGGCACGTTTATTTGGCGAATTATAGCATGACTACTCATTCAATGAATGTCCCCAACATCCGAGCCATTTTCGAAGGTTGTCAGTTGTGTGGCGTTGGGGGGCTCGGCGGCATGGGTCATGATCTCTTTGGCGCCTGGAGACGCAGAAATTGGGACCAAGAAAGAACAGTCAGTGTCCAGACCAGCATGGCTCGGCCTCAAGCCTTCCCACAGCAGTAGCCCCGCTGTAGCTATGTCCCAACGATAATGTTCAATCCCTGAGCCGAGAAACTCGAAAGTTGCGATACGATTCATACGAAGCCTTCAGAAGTCACCAAGGCCTCCAATTGCTGATCGTTCACGTTTGTCAACCATTATACTATCGCCAATTGAACTCGGGGAAAGACTATAAGCATTCGCCCCCTTTTATTTGGTAGCCTCATTGAGCTGTAGAGGGATGATCCTGCTCAAAAAAAGCCTCGTTATTGTTCGCAAAGACATTTTAAATATCGCCTTTGAGGGTAAATTGGCTGATTTTTGCATCTGAAATTCTGCTTCCCAGTTGGCCTCATACTGAGAAGAGTAGAGCGAGGGCGAATTCTCCAGCAGCCTCCCAGCCTGTTGGACGGTCTGGGTGATGCTGCTCTTCAGCTATACCGCGCTTCATCTCTTATTAGCATCAATCTCGAGAAGCTTTCTGACAGCCGTAATAATGTCCTGAAACGCGGGCATTTTATCGCACTCTACTCCCCTTAGCTTTGTCATGACATCCTCGACGATTGGCTTCAACTTGTATTCAATTCCCCTTGCGGCGTCGAGGATTTATATCAGAATTTATCCTTCCCTTTCGTTTCTTCTGTCTCGCCCAAATGTACTCCGTTGTCCTCTACCGCACTGAAGACACCCGCCCCAAAATCGCCGTTTTCGAATCTGAGGAGGAAGGGGGGGCTGGTGCTTTTTCGAACACCATTTAGGTTTAATGTCAAAGTGGCGACCCCAGACGGCCACTGGCGGGTCTAACTCACTTTCTGCTAGGTGCTTGAAGCTATGAACGTGCTCAATCGCCGCAGCCAGTCCTTGCAGCTGCCATACAAACCACGGTGTTTCGGGTATTTGTCAGCGATTCATCATTCAATCGAAGAGGTCGAAGGTTTAGAGCTCGAGCCCGAAATGTACAGCTTCAGTGTCGAACCCACCTATTTTGCAGGCGCGTGGCACCACAGGCTAGGATGATCCAAGGAGATATGCATGGTTCCGCGAGGCTACGGAGTCCCTAAAAGCAGAAGCAGCTATTTTACGATTACAGGCAATATGATCCTCAATGGGGGCGAACAAGTTTCCTTTCCCCGCCATCGCGGTATGACGGAACGATGGCCAGGTCTCCCAGGGGCTACTACTCCTACTTAATTCGATCTTGATCACCTGCCCAATAGTCGATCTAGCTCCGCACTTCCGGAGTACGAGGATATTATTACTCCACAATTGACATCGGGATTAGGACCTGAGAGGGTAACGTCTTGTGGCCTGTCCGGAGGACTTGAAACCCGGCCGGGCGATGACCGGTGAGATTTAACGTGCCATCGCTCGGGGAATGGAGATCAACAGAAGAAATAGGGAATAGCGGAAGGATACGAACAACATGAAAGTTGTCCGGCGGTATGAACGCGCCACGGTTTGAGCGTTGAGTACTACGAGCTACGAGCACTTCGCACTACGGTAATGAGCAAAAATATTAGGTACATGGATCATTGAGATGCCGTCGTGGCAGACGGCTAAGAAGGAAAGGTGGGGTGCAGGAGCTGTCGCAAAGCAATATTAATACGAGGTGCCTGCCGCTGCTGCGGCGCTGACACATACATACGGCATCAGTCGAGAGACGTGGCTGGTTCTAAGGCGAATTTTCAGCATGAAGATACGATTCTCGCCTCTGTTTGCGACGATTCTGCTCGGCGGAAAACTTGCCCATGGCCAGGTACAGGCACCGGCGCTTGCTGGGGCGGGAGCTCCCATCTCACCTGCTGACAGAATATACTGCGGAGATCAGTCCTCCAACACCATCACCGTGATCTCGCCGTACGATAACACTGTCCTGGGGACGATCGCATTGGGCTCGTCGCGACTCCAGGACGTCATCGGTCCGCAATATGTACGCTCCACCAACAGCCACGGCCTCGGATTCTCACGGGACGGAAAATACATTGTTTCTCTGTCTGTCACGACCAACACGGTAACTGTCGTCAGAACGATCGATAACAGTATCGTCAGTCAAACGTGGACGGACCGTGCTCCGCACGAAGCTTTTTTTGCCCCGGATAATCGCACCGTCTGGGTTGGGACGCGGGGCACCAACCACGTTACTGTGGTAGACGGACTTGTTGGGGAAATCCTCGACACCATTCACACGGCAAATGGACCCAGCAAGGTCGTCTTCAGTCCGGATGGAACCACAGCTTACGTCAATCACATCCGTGACCCCGTTCTCTCTATTGTCGATGTTGCCTCGAGAACGACAGTGCAAAACATCACTGGTCTGGATGATGTCTTCTCCTCAGATATGCAGATCTCGGCGGATGGAGGCACGATCTGGACCATGCATAAGATGGCCGGGACGGCGACCGTCATTGACTTGAACGCCAGAAGGGTGGTCACGGCGGTCAACGTCGGGGTGGAGCCGAACCATGCCAACTTCGCGGTTCTAAACGGCACGACCCATGTCTTCACCACAGTGGGAGCCAGCAACGAGACGAAAGTGTATCGACAAGACTCGCCCAGCTCCGCACCTGTCTATTTAACGTCGATCAGGTCGTCTGGCATTGAGCCTCACGGCCTCTGGGGCAGCCCGGACAACAAGTGGATGTTCACCGTCAATGAGCATTCCGACACTGTGGACGTGATCTCTCTCGAGACGATGGAGGTCACCAAGACTCTGAACGTTGGGCAGGAGGGCCAGGCGCTGATATATGTTGCAAACGCAGTACCTGAGGGTAATGGAACTGCCAATCTTGGCACACAGGGTCTTTCCACAACGGCAGCGCTGAACAAGATTGTGGATATCACCTCCAAACCCGGGTCTGAATCCATGATGCCCGCCTCTAACAAGACGCCCACTGCTCTCGTGACTATTCGGAGCCTTGGTGGGTTGGATATGGTGCAGGTTATCGGGAGGGATATCAAGCTGAATACCAGCTACACCATGTCAGCCACATGCCAACAGTGCAACGGAGGCCAAGTTCCACTGCTGTCCTTCAATGCAACGATGAAGAGTCCCGACGGCTGTGGAAGCGCGCCTCAAGTGCTCAGTTTTTTCAAATGGTATGATGTCTGGGATCTGGAGAGCATTCAGATCTCCGAGACATAGTGCAAGTTGGCGAAACGCAAATATCACAGGTTTCTTTCATGCACTGAGCCTGGCTGGTTTGCGAACCTTCGGAGCATGGCGCGGTACAATAAAAGTGATTATGAAGGACAGGAGACTCTAGAATCACAGAAATTACAATGGTCGGATCTTGCAAAGGATCTGCCTTGGCCACATTCAAACGCCAGACATAATCCGTGGTCTGGCTGACGCGACCAACGTTGATATATCATCATCTGTACATAAGAGCAAGCGCTTGTTGGCTTGCTAAAATCCATCGTCGGGTACGTACGCTGTCAACTGAGTCGCAAATCGGGATAGTTGGTAACACCCGGTATACCTCGCTCGTCGTGTCAGCCTAAACTTCGTCCACTCCACCCAACGAAGGAAATCGGTATACCATGCGTCAGGTTCTTCCGTGGCACACCAGCTGTGATTTGCCGTTCTCCTTCGCTGGTCTCTACGTCTCGTGTGGACAATGCCGATCAAGCTCGAATGCAATTGCTCAGCGTCAAGTGACTCGTCCAAGGAGGAGGGTTCAGAGGGTTGTACCAGGTTCGTCGACCCATACATTTGAGTTATTTCATCTGAAGCTAGGACCTGTGAAGTTAGGAGGCTTTTGTCACCCACTCACGCTACCTTAGGAGACGGACATATCCTTCCGCGATGATAGCCACTCTCCAACGGGTCAACATCCAGTACCTGCTTTTATCAACTCACAAGGTCTTTCGCTTATCCTTCCTGGACCTTAATAAATTTCCCATCTCATGCAGCCAGTCCTTCCTGGACCAAATCTTCGCCAAGGGTTTGTTCTCCCCCTCGCTCCCGTCTTGACTCCCATATGCCATAGCTCTCTTCCACGCCAAAAATCGCCCCAATGGTCTCCGGTAGGGGCCATGAGGAAGACAAAGCCGCCCTCCGACGTGGGACCGACGTGAAAGTCCTCCCAATTTCGCTGCTGCTGAGCCGAGTAGCGCCGTCTCCTGTCTTTCCTGTAACCCAAGAACATGTTAGAGGCACAGCTCTTGAAGCCGCGCCAACCCGCAGTTTCCACGGACGCCCAGTGTGTAGAGCCGCTGCTCCCGTCCATATCGGTTAATATAGCCTTCCCTTCGTGTAGCGTAATCACGCGTTCCCCACGAGATGGAGTGGATGATGGACGTGGAGCTGTCCGATGGGATCAAGGGCCCGTTCGAACCGACGTTTCGAAGGGAGTCGAGGCCGTCACCGATCAAAGCTTCTGGGGGTGTTATGGCGGAATTGTCAGGATCTGAGGATTGCGATGTCACTAGATGCATACCCATGATAGCGGGCCTTTGGTTAGGATTTCTGAGTCGAAATAATAGCGTTTTGTGTGTGGCATGAGATCAATCATAGAAATGGATATACGTCAATCTAAATAGCAAAGATCAGGTTAGAGGGAACCACTCTCCGGCGCAGCGAGGCTGCAGTTCAAACGACCATGACCAGGCGATGAATTAGTACTGGCTGATTCTACCCCAGTTCTGTGAGGGAACCATAGTCTGACAGGGCTGATTCCGCCTTAGAAGCCTGCAGGCAATGTGGACTGGTGAGGCTGAGGCTGAGGCTGAGGCTGTGTGTACAAGGCAACAAACACAACCACACCGCCCCCTCTGTCTTCTGCTTCACTGATCCCACCAGACGACTTGTGGCAATTAAAACCAATGTCTTGAACCTTTAACATTCTTGATGGGACGACAAAGCCAATACCAGAAGCATAAAAACTTGATTGAACGATGTCAACGCAGCTCACCATCACTCCCACTGATCTCTCTCAAACCACAGGCTGGTACTTTGAACGTGGCTCCAGGTAGACTTCCTCGCCCACAGACGCCCACAGAGTGTCACTCAGACTGGTTATGAAACACAATCCAACGTGTGCAGTGGTCGAGACATCATCGCTTCAGCATTCAACATGTCCAAAGAGTTTCTGAAGAAAGAGCTCTCCCCACGCGGCTATGAGAGCATATTCCCGAGCGGTGCAAGCAACAATTCCTTCCTCTCGAATCAATCGCAATCAACACCTCCACCTGCTCATAGCATTGACACGTTCACGGCGGCGTTGGAGCAAGCGCGTCAGAAATACGAGGACAAGAGTCTGTCCAACAATGTCCCCGTAAAGGTCAAAGCGTGGTTGACGAGTCTGTCCGCCCGGATTCTGTTCTTCGGAAACATCCTCGATGTTCTCGCCCAACAGCACCCAGAGTGCGCCTCTCTGGCGTGGGGAACATTCAAATTTCTTTTTATAGTATGTAAAGTCACATATATGTTTGGTATATCCGTGTGCAGAGCGAAGTACCATGATTCACACCCAGATGTATAAGTGCTCCAAAATCATTTTGAGCTCATCAGCAAGATCGCAAAGTGCGCCTCTCGCATCGCCGACCTGCTGCCGCAGGATAAGCTGCTTTTGGTTCTGTATCCCGCGAACGCAATGCGAGAAGCGGTGGCCTGCCTTTTCGCCAGCATCTTGAAGTTCTTCCGACTGGCTGTGCAGTTTTGCAAGGACGGTCGCTTCAAGCATTCGGTCAAAGCCACCTCCCAACCCTGGTCGCCGTCCTTCCAAGGCCTGTACGAGGATGTTACCATCCAGGCAGGGAAAGTTCATGAGTTAGCAGCTATAGCGGCCAAAGCGGAATTGAGAGATGCACATGTGGAGAGCATGGAGTTAAAAAGCATGTCAAGTCAGATGAATAGCGAGGTCGCGGCACTCAAATCGACCGTTAACGAATTGAGAACGGTACTGGAGCAGAAGGTCGATGCTCACGGAGGCCTGCTCACCAGAAGGTCACCAACCCCCTTCATATTCGTCAGACAGAGTTCGTTGATATATCGCAATCAGCACTGTACCAAGACGTCCGGCTTGATCTCTCCCAGCAGCGAGAGCGTATTCGCCAAGTTCACTTGAATCAGCTGCTATCGGTTTCGTTTTGGCAGCGGACGCCTACTTCAGGGGAGTCACTGGAGTATTGTCGGTCCATCCGACGCAGACGGCTCAAGTGGTCTCGAATCGTACTTCCTGAGGAGAAGAATTTGAAGTGATGGGCCGAGGAGCCTACCGGCTCACTCCTTGCGCTTCAGAGTTACTATCCGACGACTCAGAAGGACTTCATGGTCGACATGATCCAGTTGATCCGCGACAGTCGCTTCTCTGTCATCTGGGCTTTGCGATTTCCGGATTACTGGGAAGCAGATCTCACCATCACATCTGCATACTCCACATGTTTAGTAACCAGAGAAAAACGTTGTGAGTGGAGATGTGCTCACTTTGTCGAATAAGTCAAAGACCTTTTCATGACGACTCTGGTCCGGCGCATAAGCAGCGTTCGTTCTTGACCTCTCTCGTCTTCTCTTTTTGGCAGCATGTGAGTGCGGCTGTGACGGAGGTTCCATGACTGCAGGAGAGCCGAAATGAGTGAAATTGGTCTTAGAGGCAGCGTCTTCGCCTGTTGATGGTGGGTTCCAAGCTGGATTGGTCGTCCAACCGGAGCTCTGGACGTAGGAGGCTGTTTGGCTAGGCCGAGTTGTCGTAGATGGCGAAGATGCAGGCGCTTTCAGGAGGAGTCTCAAGTCCCTGTCCTTCTGGGCGAGCTTTCCGTCTGCAAGATCCTGGGAGATAGTGTACGATGTCTTCTCAACAATTACGGCAGCATCATCGCGGATACCGCCCCAAAGGGCGAGGAGGCCGAGACCGAAGACCTCGCTAGTCTGACTAACGGCGCGATCGAAATCAGACGTCTCGTCAATGGGGGAGAATGACTTGTCATTCATCTAGACGATGCAGTGCATTTTAGCGACGCGAGCATCTCTCTATCACTCCCGATGCGGAGTGATCAGTATCTTGGGAAGCGCGGCTGAATTAGAGGGGGCAGGCGGCTCAGGCTGAAGCGGCCCAGGCTGATGCAGAGCAAGAAGTGGCCCAGCCTTGCCTGGCCAACTCAGCATACAGATAGCCGCAGCGTCAAGGCTACGGAGGAGCGCTCCCAGCTGTATCTCCGCCATTTTTCAGGTTCAGGTTAGTCGGTTGATCTAGCCCATTTTCCCTTTGTACAGCAGTATTGGGCGGGACTATTTAGCGTCCTCCCTTCTCTTCCACCGCTACTCTTCTTTGTAAACCGAAGGAGTCTGCCATGTATTCCTGTACATTTCCTCCGTGCCGATAGAGAATCGATCATACCACCTACCTCTTCCACGCAACCTTCAATGCCTTCGCCTGCCACAGTTCATCAGGAAGGTCTGTTCTCTAACCGATTTTGTGCATGGATTTCTCTAATATATATGGTAGAGCAAGTCGGTGAACGAGAAAGCGAAAGTGAGCAGCCGCGAGTACCTCACTACCCACGGACCCAAAGGCCTGTCCCCGAGGAAAAGGCCGCGGGCGACACCGGGACTCGATACTCCAAGGCACAACGAGTGCAGACCCTCACATTACTCTCTCTGGGCTGGACGCCTCGGCAAGTTGAGGACATGATCAACGTGCCAGCACCGCAGGCCAGGAGGATTTTTCGCAAAGCCAAAGAACGCGGGTACTGTCCGCACGAGGATCTTCGCATTCTTGATGATTATGTTGAAGACGGTATTATAACAGGAAGGCCAAAGAAGACAACACAAACACCATCTGAGGTAGAACAACGGCTTGTTGATCTTGCTGTCAAAGACAGGTCAGGTAGAGAGAAACCGAGCGACATTCCAGCCTATGAAACAGGTGTCAGTCAGTTCATCATTCTACGTTACGACTTTTCACAGACATAACCTCCTATCTGTCAGCCCAGCGAGAATGCCTGGTCTGTCAAAGCCCCAAGCTGGTAGGTTCTAATGATTGAGAAGAAACCCTGTAGTGCTGAATGGTCGCTGTCAACGGGCTCCGTACACAGGCACCGACGAGCAGAGCATTCGGAGTGCATTGCGTGGCCGTCACGACCAAATGACCGATAAACTTGGCTCAAAAGGAAAAAGGCTCCCGAGAAGCGAGCGCGATCCGGAGGAACGAAGGACGGGGGGCCGCAGCTGCAGTTCTTCTTTCTTCTCTCTTCTTCCTCGCCCTTCTTGTTCTTCGTCCCGCGTTTCTTTTTCCCTCTTCTCCTCTCTCTCTCTTTTCTCTCCCTGGTAGCACGGCTTATTGTATCTGTGTACGGAGTATATATATACTGTAGCAGTTGATGTATGTAGCCAGCCAGCCATCTAGGTCTCGTCTCACACAAGATCTCCCACGAGGCCTGTGGCGTTCCGTTCCGTTCTGTTGTGTAACTCAGGGCCCGTGTCAATTGTCACAGGAAGAAGCGGCAGGCGCTCGGTGCGTGCTTGGCTGGCTGGCTTATTACCAGCCGGCCGAGACACACACCACCACACCTAACCCCAACCGCCTCTTCCTCCTTCAGCGCACGGAACATGGAAATTGGGCCTCCTTCTTGTCGTCCAGGACGTGGACATCCAGCCGCAGCCTGGTCTACGGCGGTTGGTTGCGAAGAGTGCAACGGGGCCCGATAGATGTGCTCACGACGATGGACTGTCCAAGGTGCTGAGTGAGGTCAAATGATATACTCGATATAATTTGGAGATCGGCGTACGGTGGACATGTACGTGGTAGTCAATCCCTGTAAACCTTAGAAACTGCAAGGGAGCCACAAGCTGTTTTGGTACAGGAGAATTTACGAGGTAGAATGGGGGGTTTTCAGGGCGGTCTGCGCGTCCCCCCCGTCGCTCCCAGTGGCCCACCGCAGCCCACCAATAGACCCCGCAGGCCTTATCTAATGCCCCTCCAAAGCTTGGTCGAGCTTAACTGGCTCTTGGCCTACCAGCCTGTGAGCTTATCTTCTGGGGAGACCATGGGGAGGGGCCACCAATAAATCGACGGAGTCCTGCAACTAGTAACCCACCTAACAAGCTTGTTTGCCAATAGCTAACCGACAGAGCAAATGCATGAGGGCGGAGTACACCAAGCAAACAAATCTGGGGAAGCGACCCAGAATCCCCAGAAAATATCTCGCCTGGACGACTCTGTAGTGTTTCCCTCAAGCCAGCGTGAATACCTGGACATGGTCTTGCGGTTGAAGGGTGCGTGCTTTCTTACACACCCAAGCTGGTCGAATTGGTTGTAGAAACCGAACAAGCACAAGCCTCGTTCCTAGCTCCATCCTATCAGCGTCTTCAAGGCCCCTGCTGGCTTCACTGCCAGGGAGGTCATCAACACGGCCCTGTCCTCAGCATCTCGTGTCCCCCCACCGACAAAGGCCAGACTCCCATTGGTTCCAGCCATCTTTCGATATCTGGGGAAATGCTCCTTATCTCTGTCGATTCAGCGCCAGAATATAATGGGTGGGTGGACTTGACGTTGTCGATACCCTTCGCTCTCAGCTGGAGAATGCTCTTCGTCCAGAATCGGATCTCTCTTTCACTGCATAATTGAGACACGTCTCCAATTGCGTTCCCATTGTGATCCCAGGACCTCACCCACACACGCGACCATGACAGACCAGCCCAAAGATCAAGTCTACGTCCATTTCGGACGCGGCGGCGCAGGTTCTATTATCCCTTTCTGCTCCAACGTTTGGCCACGGCACCTCTAACAAGCGCTATCAGGTAACATCATCAACTCCACAGCAAGAGAAACCCGCCGTCCGTCTTGGACCGCCGACTCGCAATCGCAGTCGACTGCCATAGGCAATGAAGGAATCCATGTAGGGCGACGTTTCTCCACGGGAATAGGGGGGTCAGGAAACATGTCTTCGGCGAGTAAATTTCAAGACAGACGGGAGGCCGATGAGGAAATGGCAAAGTTGCTGTACGACAGGCAAGCACCCGGCATTGTGCTTGTTGAGGGTCGCTATCACACAGGACGAGGTACGTGTCAAATTCCTTCTCACTCTCTCAAAGTTGCACGTCAAGGTTGTCGTGTCCTGCCGACCCACAGACAGGCTAATCGGGGGAGGAAATTTCAAATAGGCGGCGCCGCCAACAAATATGCCAACACCGAGCCGGAAGATCAAGAAGCACGATTGAATAACGAGAATATGCGGCGCCAGAGTCTCGCCAGCATGAGTCACCGGAGACAGAGTCTGGCAAGTCTCATCCCGTCAAGCGGAGAGAACAGTCGCAGGGCCAGTCTTGCTTCAATGAGGGATTATCTCATGGCGAGGAGGACGAGTAAGGCCTGACGTTTTTGCTTTGCTGACTGCTTTGTATCTGGCACACGAAGACTTGAACGATAAGTCATATTGCATGCTACACAGTAATGGCTTCAGCTCCCTTGAAAAGACGCCGCGGTGGCGGGAACCATGTAGCAATCAGAAGTTGAACTCGTCCTGTACGCAACAGATGCACTTGAGCCTGGCCGACGATCACCTTCTCATGCGAATATCCCTTCTAACACCGGTTAAATACGGCTGTCGTTCGTGGTTATACTCGCACGTCCCTAGCTAACCTCGGTTCAGTACCCGTGTCCAGGTGGTGGAAGAGGCAAGCAGCAACAGCAGGACGAGCAAAGGATTCACAGATAGATGGACCCAAGAATCTGTCTATAAGACTGTTACCCGGTCTCATCGAAGGCCTTGAATGCGGATCGCACTCAACTTTGTGATCACTGACCGACACGTTCTGCCCAGCCGCGATATGGCTGCCTTCAATCGACAAGGGCAACAGAAAGCTTGAGCCTTGCTCTCTGAGCTGTAGAGACAGAATAGAGGTAGCGGCTGCATCGCGGTATTGCCAGTTGCGCAGCAATGATGACTGTGGCGCAGTATCTTAGCCGCACCGCTATTTCCCGTCCAAGGTCTTGATGCTCTATTGCCTTGGGGACGCAAAGTCTCCGTTGGGTATCCTCGCCTCGGATGGAAGTGTCTCCACGTGCTCTAGCCTTGCGATCTCCAAATCGAAGTCCTGACCCCGAATGCCGGGCCTGCTCCAAATGCTGGTTCGCTTCGGCTGCGACGGCTGAGATGTCCTCGTCACATCAGTGTCGACCTTCGTCAGGTCCACAAACTCAGATATATCGGTACCTCCATTCAAAGCGGAAGAGCTCCGCTTCTCATCTCTCGCAAACGGTAGTGATGAGTTCCTTCCGCCCACGAAATCGACCAGTTTCCCGAGAATGGCGAATTCAAGCTTGAGTTTGATGGAGTAAAAGGCCGGTTTCGTGATTGTCTCGAGGATGTAGAGCGAGGCACACTCCAGACCTAGCAACCCTAGATCCAAAGTGATAATCAAGACATTGATCGCCAGCAGCTGATACATGAGTCTCTTGGTGTTCATTTGGACCGAAGAGCGAAGTATGCGAATGGCCTCCATAATGTAGATCGATGACAACACGACTTCTTGAAGAAAGAAACCACACATCTGGACCTTTTCCATCACGTTGTATCCATCCACAAAGGCTTGGGTATGTGTGTCACTGTTTGATCCGATTGTCAGGACTGTCGTCGGTATATGCAGAACAATCGCATCGACAATAATCATCCATTTCGTCCACTTGAGAATCTTGTCTCTCCTCTCACCTGTCAACAAAAGGTGGAGTCTCGAATAGAGGACAATTGCTTGACCTGTTATCAACGGATACCAGCCAACGCTCAAGAGCAGCAAGGAAAACCATTTTGCGTTCGTGAGAATCGAAAAGTATTTGAAAAGGAATCCTATGCAGTAGGGGAAAATGCCCATGCTGGATATGAGTAAGCTCCAGAAGTACAGGCCTCGGAACCTCTTGAATGTACCGAATATGAGAACCTGTAACTCGACAGCGTTGTACATCGCCAGACCGAGGAAGAATGCGATCATGACCTTAATCGTGAGGCTGTCGCCCGTGTATCCTCCAGTTATGCCTTCGGCTGCGGACGAAAACGAGCTCGAGGAGGCACTGGAGTTGGCTGCCATTCTGGTAGGAAGATCTCCGATCCGGTGCAAAGAATGCCTTGAGCTTTCACCTTGTAGGAGATCCTAAATTCGTCCGGCACGCCCTCGCCTGGTAACCGAGCACCACTGACCCATCTAAGGGCATGAGCATTGACGCCGTTGGCAAGGAGTTTGCGGACGACGTTGTTCGAAGCTTCACCCCACATTTTGAGAGAGGATAAAACGGGTGAAAAGTGCAACCAAAGATTAACCACATTGTCGATCATTCTCAACCCCGCGAAAAGGCGTTTCGGGCGGAATTTTCATGGCGACGGTGAGTGTGCGCTTCTTCCTCATTGGATCGTGGGGTTGCCGTTCTGTCAAAAGAGCTGTGTCGCCTGGTGCCGCTTCGCCGGTTCTGCCATGCATGCCTGGGGAAACACGGGCGATCAGGTGCCCTACGTCATTCTCGCACACTCCCGATCAGCCTCTCCAATAGTCGACCCTGGGCATTGCCCTGGGGCAGTCGCTGCGTTCTTATACTATGTCAGGTATGGCGGTGTGGAATCTCGTGGGGCGAGATGTGCCGTGGGCGTAATACCCTGCGGGCTGTGGATGTTTCAAAGTCGATATATACAACATAGTGTTCACTATTCTGATGTTTGACTTTCGAGCCAGATATATCTTCTACATGACAACGGTGACCATGTTTGATAGGGACCCTCCCTTTTCAGTCGTGATATAGGGCCAGCCTTGCTGCACAGTGTTCCCTGTCTCCGCGGTCGGCCCTATCCTGAAGTTGCGCTGGTCTTGAGAATCCCGTGTCGTCTCACAAAATGTAGCCTAGAGTGCAGTGCTGAAATCAACTTTGCACGTCTTGCACATCCCGGTGAGATGGACCCTTCTCCTCGGTCACACTGGTGCTGGTCTTGATCATCGACAGCGCATGGATCTGACACTAGCAACAGGGCCCCTAGAAATCGCGGCGGTTTCATCCGTTACCGCTGTGTCCCAGAGCTACGGCCACATCTCAAGCGCAAAACAATCACTACTAGTCAAGTCGAGGTAGCTCGTTCGGAGGATGCACTAGATTACAAGTTGTTTCCGTAGCTGTGAGGAGCTTGTGATCGGAATCTTCGATGTCCAAAGCGAGCTCGGTGTAGAAGTATCGTCCTGAAGATGGTTGCGGCCTTTGGTATGGCCGCAGAGGCTCTCATGTTGTCTTTCGAGAACACGGTTCGAGACGTCATTGATTAAACAACGGATTGTGTTACCCGAAACCTTGTAGCATCGTCCCATTTTTACTGTATCATCTGTCGTTCCTGCTTTGCACAGCCTGCGTCCCTTGTCGCAATACTTCAAGCCAATCACTCGCCATAACTGGATGTTGCCAGACTGCATCCCTATCATCATTTCTCGCAGTGGCGGGTAAGGTTGCTGGACTTGGACTCCTCTCTGAGTACGCAGGCAGACTTGTTCGAGTCCACACATGTTCTAGGCTTTCTCTTCGGCTTTGATGCGTCGTTTCGCCGGTTCGTGCTGTAGTGAGGTCCGTGAGTCGGGTCGAGGGGATTGAGATGACGGAAGAACGAGGTGATGCTGGCGGCGGCGAATCCTCTTCGTCTTCAACGGTCAATTGAAAGTCTACAGGAAGAGACTTCTCGTCTACGGCTGTTGGGGGATATTGGATTATGTCTTTATACTCTGGAGGGTTGTCGCGAGGATAACTCAGGGGCTGTGAAGGAGGACATCGGTAGCGATCGGGTTGGCCATTGGTGACAGCGATGATGCGGGCATGGCGGGTATGGGCGTCAAGTTTACTTGGGCGGTCACTCGAGGAGCAGCAGGTAAATAAAGAGGCAAGAATGGCCATAGCTCCGTTCTTTCGTGACTTTCCTAGGAGTACAACCCACGATTCATATGAAATCTGACATGGAAGGCTGGCTGAGTTGTGAGTTGCTCTGTCGAGGTGGGGAGGTGAGACTCAGAAAAGGCAGACAGCGAGAAGCATCAGGCTGTCCGCCAAGCCACAAACCCGCCTGCCTGGCGCTTTGTGCAGATTCAACCGCAAACCCAGCCTTGTGCTCTCCCACCACAGACACCAATTCCATACGACCGAGTACAGGTACAATTGATCACTCACTGTGCATTCTCCACCACGCGCGAGTTGCTCTTCGACAATGTTGTTTGCTACTACATACCTCCTTCTCACGGGCTACTTTCTCCCCTCCCCCTTCCGCCTTCCTACAAGAATGGTTCTTACCCGTTTCACCAGACAAGATACAATAATTTAGTACTCGGTATTCGAAGCAAAAACATGAAGAGCATAGCCCTCGATATGCGTCAGACAATCATCTTATCAACGCTAGCTGAAGATCAATTATTAATTAAATATTCTTTGTACATTCACGTTTATTCGTCTTCGTGGAATTGAGAAATAGACTCACAACTCAAGACCAAATAGCAAGTCGGTTTCCCATCAAACAGACCCATTGATCTCCAGTTCTATTGCGGGCTGTATATTGCTGAATCAGCTGCAAGCCCGTAAGACACTGGCCGGCCCTCCAAGAAATTGATTGGACAGCTTCTCTCGGCACTGGCTTGCATCACCGTCACGGCGGCGGACTGTCTGGCTTGCTCGTCTCCTGTCGCCCTCCTTGACTGTTTCCGGCCATACAGAAGTAGCACCGCGAGGGCAGCGACAGCTAGCGCTCCAAAAGAACCGATAGATATTCCTGCAATTGCGCCTGAACCCAGTGTATCTTTACCCGCTTGGGGAGTGGCCGTTGGATTGGCAGTTCGAAAGTGTTCCTCAGTCGTGCTAAGAGAAAGCGAATTGCTCAGGGGTGGAGAGGCCAACGCTGATGCCGGAGGGCTGGATGTGGTGGCTGTCGATGGGTTTGCAGTTAGCAGCGGACCAGTTTACTACTTTCCAACGACGACGCGGTAAAGGAAGGACTGCTGCTTTGGACCACAAATGGAGAGGTACAGAAAGTTTTGGACTTCGGCGTAATAAATTGAACCGACACAAAACGACACTCACAGAATACTCGTCGCCGCTCGGAGAATGCGTTACCACAGATCCCACTTCATCTGACGCGGGCTACATAGGATCGTGGGAATTCACTGGAAGGCAGGAAGTACAGTACCGTATCTGGCTTCTGAATCGTCCGTGGACGCAATAATAGTTTACAGGTTTTTCAGACTTGTGGTCCGTCTATTCTGTGGGTACAATGTGCTATGGCATATCTAATATCTAGTCGTATTCATGTTGAGTTGGCATCGCCTTTTCATCTATCCTCAGACTCGATGAGGAAAGGATGTAATCGATGAAACCGCTCGTATTTGCGTGAGTTGCCTCTATTGGCGTCTCTTGCCCCTGTCTTAATTACATATTGGGACTGAAAAGACGGCGTCTACAGGATTCGGCCTTTTCTCAACTGATCATTGTTGATACGACCCTCCAACGTCCTGCTTAGCACCAGGGAGGAGATGGGGAAAGAATTTCGGTGATGTGAATTAGGCTCCATGCGATGCATTTGATTTGGCCTTTGCACAGCCCTAGCGCACTATGGACCAGTTCCAGTCGAATGTGTATCCCAGCGAAGACATATTGAGTAGAATAGAGCATGGTGCCACCAGCCACTCGACTTCCACCGCTCATCCTATTAAGGCCCAGGTACTGAAGATGGCCCGTAGACCTTGTCGAATCTCACAAAATATGGATTGCACAAGTCCTCGTCGCTTATTATCCACGAGATGGCCACTTATTAGACGGCATCAAGCCACAGGAGATTCTTGCGCACGTCGAGTTTGCTCAACGCCCAAATACTGAATAGACGATAGGGGTCCCCTGAACTCAGTAACGCTATGAAGAGATTCAAGACATTCATTGTAGACCTGGCAGCTGACGGTGATGATCCCTGGAGGGGTTGTATGGGGGTACCGGGCGCATTTTGGATTGTATTCGTCTTGACTAGGAGGGTAGCCTTGTCAATCTTGTAGACTTTTTATTCCCGTTTGCTGACTTGAGAATTGTGTGGCACAGTTCGTACGCGGTTTGATGAAAGCAGTATGTGTTAACAGCTTACTAGCCGCGAGTTCTAGTTGCTTTTGCAAGTATTGTATGGTGTGATCGGTCACACACCATTTTCGTAGTCGGTCCATGTTGTTGTGGGCATTACTGAGAGTAATCCATGGGCGGTTGCAGATCGAAAGAACGCCCATGCCGAGAAGACCTCGAAGGGCTACTGTAGCCGGTTCGGCAGACATTGGGGCTGGCGAGTCCAGATGGAAGCAAATATGGCGCTGACGAAAGAGTGTTGAGCTCGCCGACAAAGCCCGAATGGGCCTTCAAACAAGCCGCTATTGTCGGGAGTTAGAAGCCCTAAGGATGACGGGTGTCTCACTGGCCACAGTGGGAGGGATTCAACATCCTTCACAGATCTTTCTGCAGCGCTTCCTCCAGGGGCTTGAGTCCATCGATCATAACCTCTAGTTTCTCATCCATCTTCTTGAGCTCGTCTCTCTTCCTGGTGTTCTCTTTGACCAACGCATCCTTGATCTTAACCAGCTCCAACCTCTTTTGCTCCATCTTCTCCCGCTCTTGTTTTTCATATTCGATTCTCAACGGCATCAACTCCTGCTCTGGCAATTCTGCCTGATCGGGGAACATTGCGATGTATTCGTTCAAAGGATGGAGTGGGAGGTGCATGTAGAGATGGTCGTACGCCTCGCAGGTCCCAATCTCGCCCAATAGGTGTCTCTGTTCATAGTACAAATTCTGTAGCTGTAAGAGTAGCCGATCAACTTCCTGCCTTGCCTCTGCCGTCTCCTGCTTGGTTGCTCGCGCTCCAAAGGCCGCCTGTCGATGTTGGCCTCGTAGTTTGGCCAGGTATGCGTTCAGGATCTTGTGCTGTTGTGCCAGCTCAAGTTTCTGCTCTGGTGTAGGGGTTGTCGTGGCATGTTCTTCCAGCCATGACAAGACAGAAAGCGCCTGTGCCAGAGTCGCATGGGAGGTTTGCAGTAGCGGTCGCAGGGCTGGATCTGTTATGAGATCGTCAATCGCCATCCTGGCAGCTGCGCTTGCTCGCTTGCTTTGTCAGTCAAAATCAAGACAGATGGTGTGAACGAGACAACCAGTCGAGCGCAGTTGACGTTGTTTGGAGGAGAGGGTGAAACCATTCAGCCAATCGGAGTGGAAATTCCTCCGCACTGGGAATTAAATATTTCGAAACGACAAACCACCTTTGACAACTATTTCTGCCCTCTTGTCAACCCTGCAAAGAGATGGCGCCAGATCGGGGACTCGAAGAGGCCATCACATCACTCGATCTGGGGACCCAACATGGCGACCCTACTACTGGCAGGATGGCTGCAACAGAGATGATCCCCCCTCACTTGTCGCATGATCCTGCTACGAATGCCAAGCGATCAGACCCTTTTCAGTTCGGACAGCGATTTTTGTCTGAAGACGATGATATCTTTGCCTACAATGCATGGGATCACGTAGTCCCTGACACAACACATTACGAGTACTGCGAGACCCAATATGCTGCGCAACGGGCCTCTCCCGTCTCCGACTTTGACCGGGCACGTTTCAACGAACACCCAGAGAAATGGTGGGACCTGTTCTACAAGCAAAAATCAAGTACATTCTTCAAAGACCGAAAGTGGCTCGTTCAAGAATTTCCTGTACTGAACGAGGTTACGAGGCAAGGTGCTGGTAGGAAGGTAATTCTCGAAATCGGCGCGGGAGCCGGAAACACTGCGTTTCCAATCTTGAGAATGAACGAGAATCCGGACTTAAAGCTCCTTGCAGTGGACTTCAGCAAGAAGGCGGTTGAGACAATGAGAAACGCAAAAGATTACGCAGACTCGAAGGGTGTAATAGAAGCTGAAGTCTGGGATGTTGCTGGGGAGAGCCTGCCGCCAGGTGTCGATGAGGGGAGTGTGGACATTGTCATCATGATCTTCATCTTCTCGGCACTGAATCCCAAGCAATGGCAACAAGCTTTGGTCAACATCCAGCGGGCCCTCAAACCGGGCGGGGAAGTATTGTTCAGAGATTACGGCCGAGGAGATCTTGCACAAGTCCGCTTCAAGGCTGGGAGATGGATGGAGGATAATTTCTATGTTCGTGGAGACGGTACCCGAGTATATTTCTTCGAGAAGGAGCAGCTTGAAACGATCTGGGGGAGTGCGTTCGACATATGCAATCTGGATGTGGATCGCCGGTTGATCGTCAACCGGCAACGGCGCATTAAGATGTACCGGTGCTGGATCCAAGGCCGGTTTCGAAAGAAGGAATGTACAGAGTAGTTGAGAAAACAGCATCTTTAGCGACTAGAATTGTTCTGGAGCGTTGATCTCTCTCCATGCTGTTTGGAGAGAAGGAAAGGGGGGGGGTTCTCCCAGACAGCGCAAAATATGGTCCATTCATCGATGAACCAATCCAAAAATATGAATGAGGATCGTGCCTGAAGGACTGAAGTGGAAAACGTAGGCGGGGAGGAGCAATGCCACAGCACATGTCAAGCAAGCACTTGTTGATGCATCTGTGCATTCAGAAGTCAGCCAGTGTACATTCAGAACGGCGGGGGATGGTAGAGGGATGCCACCAATTGGACAAGGCGTTGATTGCATGTGAAGATTTCCACTGCGGTGAGAATTCGAGGAGAGGCCAAGAGAGACCGAGAGAGCCCAAGAACATCTCATGCTGGTCATTTGATCGGTCATTTGATCGGGACACGATCTGACGAGCTGATTCCGCAGCAACCAGGCCCTCAAATGCTTGTGGGATGGATCAAATGACCAGGCCCCGTCATCCTGCACCTCGCCCTGCTTGGCCTGTTCTGCACCTTTCCGCATTTCCTCGCTGCCTTCCAAGACCCTCGAGACTTGTCAATCGCCACCTCTCAACCAACTCACCAAACCCCCCACCTAGAGACCTGACATGGGCATAATATCTAAATAGTCATAGTGTTCATTCTTTCCCCTCGAGAGTCAGTCCTTACCGTTCTCTACCTTTTTCCGCTTCCTCAGCGTGTACCTCTCTTCCTATGTCACTCCTATTTCTGCACGCGACACGTCGACTGCGCCACTGAGCAGCTTGCCGCCAGACGCCTACCACGCCTCCTGTTTGATCTCATTTCTCCTCGTTACCTTATCACGTTTCCTGCTGTCCTCCCAAGCTGCCGCATGACGTTGGCCTCAAGAAAATGTCCTGTGCGACACAAACAGTCACCTTCGAGTCCACTTCCGGCAGCCGCGAATCCAGTCCTGCGAGAGACCATGAACGCGCACAGCTCCTACCCCGAGGTCGTCGCCATTCCTACAATACCCTTCCCCGACGACGGCAGTCAAGCATCTGCAACGCAGATGCAATCTTTGTGCGAGTCGATTTGTTCCTAAGTGAGCTGAAAAGTAGGCTGGACAGGCTAGAAAGATACCGGCAAGACAGTCTTTTACACTTTGATGCTCAGTTGGAGCGAGCATATCAAGTCCTGAGCGATGTACGGGACTCGTGCGCACCGTCCCTTTCGGGCGAACTGCTGTGGGGTGCTGCGAGGCACCGTGCTTTTATCCTGGTTGATACGCTCGAGACTCGGTACAACGATATCATGCCGTCAAGAGAAACTCTGGAGCACAAAGCACAGGAAGGCATGCGCCTGATGGAATCCTTTCTCTCGGAACTGGAGTCACGGATGCATGAAAGGAAGAAACAATTCATTGACTCGGGGTGGAGGAAGGTCGACGACTCACTCAACGCCACTCGAGAGATGCTGGAGGACGGTCTCGACAAAGCGCTGCGGGCTCGAGATATTCTGGCCGAATCTGTTTCCCACGCGCTGACCCGAGCTGCCGAGACGAGATTAATCCACTACGAGGATCTCCCCGTGCCCTGGAGGAATAACCCTCACATCCTCAAAGGTTACCGGTTCAACAAGACACAAGTCGAATGCCTCACCACCATGTTCCACGCGCACAACGAGATGGTCAATATATGGTCACATACAATCGGCCTACTAATTATTCTTACCGTAGCCTTTTACTACTATCCTTCCTCGTCGACATTCCCTCTCTCAACCAAAATGGATGTCCTGATAGCGGCCTGTTTCTTTGCTGCAGCCTGCAAGTGCATGATCTGCTCCACAATGTGGCACACCATGAACAGCATCTCGGACAAGCGTTTGTTCGATCGGTTCGCTTGTGTAGACTACACTGGCATCTCGCTTCTGGTGGCGGCGAGCATACTTAGCACCGAATGGACGGCATTTTACTGCGAACCCATATCGAGGGCGGTTTATATGACTATGACCACGGTGCTGGGAATAGCCGGAGCGATCCTGCCTTGGCGGGAGAGCTTTAATCGAGCCGATATGGCCTGGTTTCGGGTGACGTTCTTCGTCACGTTTGTCGTGGTTGGCTTCGCGCCTGTGCTGCAATTGAACTACACCCGAGGGGCTGCTTGGACTTTCTATTTCTACGCACCTGTTGCGAAAAGTATCATGGTGTACTTTACAGGAGCTCTCATATATGCAAGTCAAGTGCCTGAAAAGTGGTGGCCCGGATCATTCGATTATGTTGGATGCAGTCACAATATCTGGCATGTTGCTGTGGTCCTAGGAATTATCTTCCACTATTTCGCCATGTTAGATTTCTTTCAGGGAGCATTCACGAGGGCGAGCGATGGTTGTTGTCTGGGATGATAAGTGTTGGCAGCTTTGGAGGCTCGGACGAGGAGTTGGTCAAGCATAGCGTGGTCGTCAGTAGCGATGCGTTGGCTCTGGACTAGCTTACAATGTTGGGCGGTTACTAGGTCCTGGTCAATTTGGATGCACAAATGAGAAGAGATCTATAGCTGGATCAAGGGGAGGTTGTGTGGGAATAATATATCCAAGCCTGATCTGAGCGTTGTTCAGATGAGCCAGCTTGCTACATAGGTATCGAGTCAGACTCCTAACTCCCGATATCCCTCTGGAGGCACAGATCAAGCCCATGCCCAATTCAGCCTCCAGACCCGAATACGAAGATTTCCTTTTCCCTTGAACCCCAAACTCGAGGCCAAGTCAAAAACCAAGCGAGTCTGACGCCTGAAATAATGAACTCCCCTTCCAAATTGAATAGCAAGGCAGATACATCTCCTTGTCAGACCATTCAATTTTCTATTGCGCAAGTTCGAAAGGGAGACATGGTCCTAAGACAACACGGCAGCCTAATGTCGAGAAGGGCAAATATCGTATCGACCCTCCTTCTGTCCTTTGCCATCCCCTCGCACCTTTCGAACGGCGACGGCACCAATACCGTGGTCCCCGACTTAGCAATCAATCGGCCTTGACCATGGCGCGGAACCTCCCTGCCGGCCCCTGGCAGCGTACCGTCCTGGATCAACAAAAGGTGATGCAGTCGGTATTCAGGGTCGCCCTCGAAGCTAAGATCGGAAAATCACCAACACCAGAAAAGACAACTGTCTATACGAGGAGATCCCACAAAAAGTCGCGGCATGGCTGCAGGACCTGCAAACAACGGCGAATCAAGGTAGTTGATGCTCCACGACTTTCCTTTCAGAGGCCGAGGACGGTCTAATGGGTTGGCACTAGTGCGATGAGAACAGAGAGGGTGGATGCCTCAAGTGCCAGAGTCATGGCATTGCTTGTGATTACAACAAAGGAGCACAAGTGCAGGGCAAGGCCTATGTCATCTTGCCCAAGGAGCAGGTGAATGGTCCTGCTCCTTCTTGCTCAAGTGATACTGGCTCCACTGAGTCCCTATCCTTGATAATGAATAACAGCAGAGGATCAAGTTCCAGAACTTTGACTCCCTTGAGCCTCCTCCTCAACCCGGCCTCGCCTTTTCCGTTCGAAGTCCCCGATCAGATAACTCCCGTGGTTCAGACATTCAACCATTTCGGCACGGTCACATATTGCTCCATGGGGTCTGATCTGGGACAAGAGATCATTCGAGCCACTGCTTTTGATCTTGCTCTTGAAAAGCCTTACCTCATGCATGCGGCTAATGGCATCGCGGCGGCACACCTCTGCCATCTCCTGCCCGCTGCTCGACATCCTGTTCAACACAACCAGAATCAGCTTACCAACTTCTACCACTTTCAGAAAGCTTTCCAACTCTTTCGTGATGAGTTGTCCGCTGGCGTCACGAAGGACAACATGAATGCCCTGATATCGACTGTGATGCTTATCTGCGTCCATCAATTTATGCTCACCGAACCGCTCCCGGACCCGGGAAAGAGTTTCGTCTACGCACCGGCAGAGCATCGGAGGGAGCGTTTGAGATGGCTGACAATCCAGCACGGATTCAACGCTCTGTATGCTGAACTGGGCGAAGTGATCTGGAGATCGGTCTGGAACCCGGTTTTTACCGATTCAGACTTCAAGGAACTCGCGGCCACGGTCATGACCGCAGAGGCCGGCGATGAAACCCATGTCTTGTTCCTTGAATTGTGCGAAATTGTCCCTGGCTCGTCAACCGACAACAATCCTTACTACGAAGCGCTGGAGCATCTCCTATTTCTTCGTCGACTGAAACCGGGGATGAAAACATTCAACAAATTGGTGACATTCGTCGCGGTGGTGGAAGGCGACTATCTCCAATTGTTGCTGTCCCGGGAAAAGCGAGCACTGTTGATCCTGGCGCATTGGTTAGCATTGATGATCGGGGTAGAGCAGTGGTGGAGCAGTGGGAGGTGCAAGATGGAGTGTACAGCCATCACGGCATTTCTGATGCATGATCAAGATGAGAGGGTTAGAGCCTTGCTCAGATTTCCAGCAGAGAGTGCGGGATTTGATCCAACCACAGCTGTACAGAGCCCAACTAGCTCGCTAGACATGGAGTAGTGGGTAGGACGATTAGCAGTAGTACCACCCCGTACCACCCAAATACCTTGGTAGGTCCCTTCTAGGCAGAATAGTCCATATGTAGGCTGTGCACAGCTGTGAGAAGTGGTTGATTTAAGTGCCTCGGTGCCTCTAGAGGCGCCCCCAGGGCCTTGTTGGATATTTAGGCTCGACGTCACCCAGATGGCAGCCCAGCCAAGTGAGGCGACATAGGGCGGTGCAAGGGCCAGCGCAGGCCAGTGAATGCCAGTGCTGGCCTCATCACGTGGAGGGGACTTGTCCTCAACTTGTCTTCGGTTCCAGCCTGAACTGCGCCCTTCTCAAATCAGCGCCCGAGTTGGCTTCTCTCTTTAAACCCGATGAGACTTCACTTGTTTGCCCTGTCCAAGCGATTGCAAACCAAATCCACGGTCATGAGACTTGTCCATGGACAACACTGATCACTTTCCCTCAAGCACGTTGGTCTTGTTTCATTTGTTCCATTGAAGACCGAAATATGTGTTCGGCGTTCTTGACACTTTCAACACCCGGCAAGACAATAGCACCGCGATTGACTAATTGTTCACTATGGCTGCCACTTCAGAAACATCACAGTCCTCCTCATTGCCGATTCTCGGGCCTGTACGAAAGACACTCTCGCCGTTCGAACTTTTGATCACTTGCAATCCACCGATCCTCGAATCACTCCTCGCCCAGGTGCCGACCGAGACCATCTTCAGGCTATACCAGACGTCGTCGTACCTACGGGACTTCTTTTCGAGATCTCCCACGTCCTGGCGATATATCTCATGGCGTCTGTATCAGCCTGCGGCCACCACCGCCTCTGTCACGGTCAACCTTTCTGGAACCGCGTCACGGCCATCGAGCAATTACGCCCTTGATCAAATCATCCTCACAGTCATAAACCCCTTCAGCACTAGATTAGCCAGCCTAGAGTTGGACAATACGGCCGTTAGTGGCACAACCTTGACGTCTACCGTGCTCATATTAAGGAGAGAGACTCTTCGCCACGTGTCGGTCCGAGGGTGCAAGAATGTCTCTTTAAAATACCACATCAACCCATGGCTGCAAATGCACGCCTTGGCTCGTGAATCCCCAGATGCCGGAGGGCCCCCTGGTTTCGAGACACTGGCTCTCAAGAGTTTATATACCTATCGATGCCGCCATCATAGGAGGAGACCCTATCTTCCGAGTAGTCTTGCGCGGAAGGAGAGCGACAGTGAACCCACTCACGAACTGGTCTTGACATGCCATAAACTAGGCATCTGGACAGATACCGCTTGGTGCACCACCCCCGGAGCCAGGTGTTATCGCCGGAGAGGATATGTGAAACTGCGCATGCCGCAGGATCCCAGGGAGGTCTGGGTGGTCTATGATCGTTTGTGGAGGAGCCGGAATTGGCTGGGCCCCACCGATCAGCCCAAAACCTATTCGTTAACGAAGAAGCGGAAATGGGACTGCAGGAGTTGGGAAGTTGACGAGGAAGGCATGAACGGCGAAGCCATTGGAACGGGCCTAGAGGGCAAAGCAACGCCGGCGCATCTGAGAGAGTCTCATCGAAAATTTGTTGAAAACATCACTTGCCACAACTGTTCGGTGGAGATCCTCGAGCGATGTGAACAGTGCTCTGTAATGATGCACTGTGTCGGATGCAGGAAGACGTTATGTGCCAGTTGCGCCTTCGATCGTCCTTATCTGCGAAACAAGAATGCTCCCGAGGAAGAGCGAAACAAGTTCTGGTGGGCTCCCGGTTACGCCGTCTCTCCGTGTTCCATGCAAGATCAAGACTTACCTCCAAATGGAGCGGCCGACGGCAACCAAAACGTAAACGCGAACACTCTTCCGAATATCAAGTTCAAATGGTGCTGTACAGAGCCACTCTTTTCGGGTGGTGGTGGCATTACCTTCAGCAACAGTTCAAATCGAGATAGCGATCGCATTCGCGCAGCACCGCTCCCAGCTGGACAAGGATGGGAGGACCCTGAATTCGATCATCATCTTCCCAACTTTTTCTCTCTAAAAAGTTGGCGGGGGCCCGGCGACGGCCCTGGAGGTGTTTGGGGGTCCATCAACGATCTTTTCGGCGCTGTCGAAGATCTGAACACCGGAGAACATCCCTCGTCAGTACCTAGGGTATTGTGTGATGAGTGCTACAGCTCCGAGCAGTGGAAGTTCAAATGCAAGGCTTGCTCGACACCGATTTGCATCAAACATGATATTGGCGATCGTGTCAAAGCCAGGATTTGCGGCTACAGAGAATTGTCTGTCGAGAAACAGGAGTTCAAGGCGAGCGAGAAGGCTTTAAAGTTGCTCACTATGCTGCGGCAACCGAAAAGAAAGCAACAAGCCGAAGCAGGGCAAGGGGAATCCGCCGAGATTGGGATCCTTGCCAGCTCACCGAAGGTCGGTAAACTTGCCGCCAAGTCGCGGCCCTTATTCCCTTCATTATCCCCGTCAACAGCAACAGGCTCTGCAACGCCTGAAGCTTCGGTGAACGCGGAAGCTGGAAGCGCTTTGAGACCATCGCGAACAAATCTAGTGGAAGTTGATCGGCCCCAGCGTCCACTATCACCGGCTTCGAGCAGCACCGGGCCACAGTCCCGATCAACGTCCCCAACACCCTCAGCACATTCAATACCCGCAACCCCTGAGCCGAGCTCCGCGCCTCGACGGCCAGCTCGACCTGACATTGAGTCACATCCCAGATGGCGAGGTTGTAAGGCGTTTTTCTGTCCGCCGTCGCGTTCCGCGCCAGGCGACCACAGGCGACGCTGTACAGCGGCCATGAAGCCCTGCATGGAATGCAAAGTCTATGTTTGTGCTGATTGTGCAAATACCCTTGATCCCCCGTGTCCTTGCAAGGGATGTCGATCTTCACAGATAGAAGGGGACAATAACTTATCTGCAAACGTCTCACCGAATACTGGATCGTCTGATACACCTTTGTTTTTCTGCCCCAACTGCCGGTGGGAGAGAATGCGATCTGGCAAATGCAAACGGAGGACACCAGCTTTTTTAAGTGCTCGGTCGTGGCATGGCAAGAAGACAAAGAAGCGGAAGGATAAGATGCGCAAACCTCTAGAAGCGCGACGGACGAGCCACGGACAAGGGGCGAGCCCCTCGAGCACAGAAGAGGCGATCGATGGGCTGGTGGAGTTCTTCTCGAGTCTGAACGTTCAATACCCTAGTGTGGGCCATCCCCAAACAGAAACGAGCGTGCCGTTGCGGTCAGATGTTGATGGCCAAGCAGAGGGCGGAAGCAATCCGCACGATATCCAAGAGTTGGAGGATATGGGCACTCTGGCCCGAGACTTGATCCGCCGGATCCAACGTTTGAGAGACCAATTTCCCCCGGGGTCGCTGGCCGCTCTCGCTCTCCCGGATATTCGTCTAGAAGACGAAGCAGAAGTCGCGGTTAGGATCGCACGCACGGCGAGCGACGCAGCTCGAGCGATGAACCCCCAAGCGTTGGCGATTCAGATGGCAGCAGAGCTCGCAGATGCTCACTATCACAGTGGGAATGTCGCTCTGCATTCTGTACCTTCGCCGACGAGTGAGAATGGTAATGCCGAGGAGCATCAGTTCGCTGTCGAGCAGGCCAGGAACCAGACTCAGGGTGCGCATGACAACAGAGCCGACCCCCCTGGACCAGCGGAGTTGCTCGAGGACGAAGAATTGCGGGATGAAGACGACGGACAGTTCGAGGAGAGGGAATCAAGTACAGAATAATGATATATGGCGTACACAATCGTGCTGAGAGCATTGCGAGATCTTTGTGTGTGTTGGGGGTTGTGAGGAGGGGGGTTGCAAAACATGGCGCGAGCGGAGACTGCGCCTTCTTTGATGCATGGAAGCAGGTGGCTAAAAGAACGGGAGTTAGGGTGGGAATTGGATGGGTTGGAGGTCAACTTGATCTCGATATGAGGAATTCTTTCTCTCCTTTGGCAATGACACGAAATGATCTTCCGCGCCTGGTGCGAGCTCGGTTCCACAACCTCCAAATTGTCTTAGGTCGCAACTGAGGCGGTCTATTTTCTCTAGACTTTCGGCGGCCGTGATAGCGAGGAGATGACAAGGGATCCAGGTGAGCACAAAGATCTTTCGAAGGGCACACAGTGAACCCAGGTATCACCCTTCCCCCTATTCGTTGCCAGCCTTGCACGTTCATTTCGCCCCTATGGATCCTCATGATATTTGCCGGCCTCGGCCTACTGGTTTAACATGAACAGTTTCCGGTTCACGGACGGTGGGCGATCAACCTCTGGTACGCAAACGATATCGAAGCGTGCACTGGAGTCTAGGGCGAAAGTTTGGCAGTTGCTATCCTTGCACCAAGGCTAATGACTCCCTTTAAGGACCTTTGCCTCCAGCCAGCACTTGTATAAATGTCCCACGCAGACACCGAACCAGAGAGTGCCTTCTCAAGCATCTCTAGCTCATCTCGATCCTGACGTCTACATCTCTCCCACACACTTGAACATCCATTCATTTCACCATCGATCACGTCATTCACGGAAGCCTTTGTTCATACTTACCGATCCGAACTTTACCATGGCCATCAAATCATTTCTCTTAGTCAGCCCGCTCTGGTTATCGCTTGCAGTCTTCGATGCCAGCGCCGACCCACCGCCCATCGGGACTCCAAATACTATGATGACGACGTTAGTCAGAGGGGCCTCGCCATCACCAACAGCGGCTGTCGCCATTGCAATCGAATCCCCCCCCGAGCTCTAAACCTGAGCGCACATGCGTTTGCGAGGCGCTCGTTGCACTGGCGAACTGGCGCCAGCACTACGACTAGGTGGCATCTCGCCCCCTAAGTGCTGGACGCGGGCTCCCAGTATCGAACGCTGCTGCTAGTGGGTGAACGTCCACGACCGGAAGTACAAGGACTACCCACCGATCAGAAACCGCAAGGAAGTCAAAACTGGGGAGTCGTCATGGAAGTGGCCGTGGGATCCCAAGGTCGACGTAAGGGGCCACCGCGAGGTCATTCTGCAGACTCTGGAGGGATATCACTCGAGCAAGAGGGAGCGCGAGCGCTGGCGGGTGGAGAGTGAGTTTGGTTTCTTGGGCTTCTACGAGCACCTGCACGAGTACGGAATTTGTGATGCAGACAAAAGTGGGGAGGCTCTCGACAGCAGGGTGGAGAGGTACGACCCTGAGGGAAAGGGCTATTACGACGACAGCCAGCCGAGTTATCCCTCCTGGGCGCCGGGGGGACTGTAGTTGAGTACTTTGTCCTCCACACAAGTTCCTTGTCCAGTGATCGACACCAGGTCGAAGGAAAAATAAGTAAAAGAGTACTCAACCCCGACGAAGTGGCCGCTGTGTCAAATAATACTCATAGCATCGATAAAAGATAGAGCACCACTACCTCCAAAGGTAGACAAAATACTACTTATGAAGGTCACCCTCGATCCAACAGCGAATTGACTTTATGTTTACTGCGAAGACCGTCTTGTCTCACTGTCTGATGGTGCCATTCATTTTTCATTAATAGGGCTTGATGCCTATTTGCGATACCAAGTCCACACTCCACCTTGGTCGTTCCTCCATGACATCCTCCTTCAGACCAGACTCTCTTTCTCGAATCATGCATCGCCGTCCGTCTTTATTTTCGATAGAATGAACAACAGCTGTCCTTCCCCTCTCTTAGACCAGACTTGTGACAGAATAGCTGCATTGCGGATCCTCTCTCTGCAGCGGGAAGCCGGCTCTGCCGGCCCGGACGGTTGCAGGTTCCGATCCAGCGCAACATTCAATAATCGGACGTCAAATGAAGGCCTCCATGCACCCGAGGTCTTTGCCAAAATTCGTTCCATAAGAACAGCATGAACTTGGAAGCTCATTGCGGCGGCAGCTGCTGGGTGGATTGTCTCTTCGACACATGCATCAGCACAGAGTACCTCCTCCACCAGCCTCTTCATATGGAGCAGTCTGCAAGAGCATCAAGCATTCCATTGCTCTCCACGTCAGGGGCATACCATTCAAGCGACTCATGAAAGGGCCTCTGCGACAGGGCATCGTTCCATGATGTCGCTTTCAATATCAATATCCAACGATGATGGGAAGCCCTTCCTGCCAGGTTCGCCCGTGTTGGGAGTCGTCAAGCTTGTTACCTATGATGACCAACCGATTGGCGAGCTGTCCATCACTTTCCGCGGCCGTGCTTCTGTCCTCTTGATCCATTCATATGGCGACATGACGACTTCAAGGAAGGACTATCAGTCGGTCGGCTACCTCTTCTCCCAGTATCTCAACCTTTACCAGGGAAAATATACGCATCGAAAAGGCAGTTACATGTGGCCATTCGCTTTCTGCATCCCGATTTCCGCCGCGCCGCGGGCAGTCGCCCCTAATTCGACAGATTTCTTCCATCCAGAACATCCGTGGAAGAATGATCGTCCACTGGGATTTCATCCACTACCCCCAAGTATGAGCCATGGTGGTCGTTTCCACTGTTCCATCAACTATACGCTCGAGGCGACTCTAGCTCAGCCAGCTCGGACACCCATCTCCTTGAACAAGACGTTGACCGCTAGTAAAGAAGTGCAAGTCCAGCCACTACCTCACCAGACAGAGTTGGACATCGGCGATGATTGGCCTTATACCAACTATCGACACAAGCTACAGTGTAACATTAAGAATGTGTCTGGAGCCTGTTCGCGGGGGATATTGTCGAGTCTTGGACGTTGTATACGGGGTGTGAAGGCGGAAGATCGCAAAAACCTGGAGATATATATCTCTGTCCGGGTCCCAAAAAGAATCCTCCTCACAGAGCAGCCTCTCTCCCTCATTGTATCAGCATCTGCCCACTCGATCGCAAAAGGTTCTCAGCCCGAGAGCGTCCCACTTGGCAATCATCTCACGGTCAAAAGATTTAAGTTGTCATTATGGCAATACACGCATGTCCGTGCGGGTCGTCATCATTCATCCTCGACTAGACGTGTCTTTGTTCGGCAGTCGTCATCTCCCTTGGCCGTTTCCGAAACTCCATCTCTGGGTCCCTGGCAAGCAGAATGCTCGGATGCGCAGACTTCCGGGGTCACTGCAACGAACCTGGCAGATATTGCGGATCTGTCGGTACCCGCTACAATACTCGTCCCGGACTTTTCAACCTACAACATTGCCAGATCTCACTCTTTGGAGATATCGTTCAAAATGCAGTATCTAAACAAGAAATTCAGCTTCTGTCTGGGGAACATACCGATCAGACTACTTCCGAACAAACACGTCTCAGCAGGTCAAACGGAAATGCGCCCGGAGGAGCCGTCAGTCAACGAGAGTGAACTTCAGGACGGTTGGATGGTGTTTTCCCCGGGGGGCGATCTGAGCACTAACGACGATGTAGCCAATATCTTATTAGAGGAACCGCCTCCACAATATAGGGCCTGACGATCCTATTGTCACTCTGATGAAGAACATGATTGAAATTCAGATTGGGAGGTCGCGGCTAGGATTTGTGGCGTTCTAGGGGAGACCGGTGATGCATTTTGAGTCAAGATGAGGGTGTCGACCTCCTATGCTGAAGCAATATTAATTTGTTGACATTTGTGAAACACGAGAGGGCTGCGTCTGCCATACAGCTGGCGAAGGTGTAGGCTTAGTGTCTGATTCCACTATGTGTACGCCTTCTTTACCATAAAGTCGTTCATTGTATGATGCATCGGAGAGCATAGTACTTGCCAATCAGGCGAACCAGGAGTTTTGCTAGTTTTGGTTCACAGGTTTGGAGGAACGCGACTCCTGTGGGTTTCAACTTTCAACTACAGGACTCCTCTTGATGCCCGGATGGCGGCCAGGCCTCCTAGTTCGTGTGATCAATCAGCGTAGTTCCAACCGGCCCGGAATCTGATGCGGAAGCACGAGGGGACGAGGCTGCTCGAACATGAACGGCGGTTGAAAATGGTGTCCCGTCCCACTGCGATGGTAAGGCAGTCCCGGTCCGGGCGGCTAGCACATGGAGATACACAGATCCTTTGAACATGGTCCCTGACAAGAAGGGGGAAGGACGGGATCTCTACTTTAGGACGTCACGCGGCGTTGAGGGGGTGTTGCTTCTTGAGGTACCCAGCCGGTCTCGAGTCTCGAGTCTGTTACTATATAAATTGCCCCAGAGCGCTCTAGCAGGTGCCCGCAGGTGCCTGTCCGGACTCCAGAAGGAGCTGTGCGAGAACATAATACAACACATGCGATCGTAAACAATGCTGGATAATCTGTTCCACGGCACATCGGGAAGCAAAGTAAGTAATACCACCAAGTATTACATGCATCCATAGCCTCTGAGAGGCCTTCCTTCAGCACGTGTTATTGGATTTCCGGTGTTCTCTCTCTATCTGTATTCTTCTACTTCCTCTACCCAATTACGGGTCCCTAATCTGACTTGAGTCTGGAGATCCAGAACCACGGGCCTCCACTCGAAGTCGCGCAGAGTCCAGTAGCAGAGCATCCCCCTGTGCCAGTGGACGCCGAAGCTGGATCCAGCGCTCGAAACGCTGACGTCGCGGACACGGACACGGACCTCATAGAGCCGGCTCCGCCTGATCCAGCCCAAAATGACGCGAGGGCTGCTACCACCATACAGCCTCGTCGGCGTCGGTCGTCGCGTCTGAGCGCACTCCTGCGTAGACGCTCTGCAGGTGGCGACCCCATCAACGGGAGACAAAACTCGGGCAATCCCCAGCCAGGACCAGAACCAGAACCAGGAGCAGAGCCGGAGTGGGTGTCGGAGTCGCAGAGGCCGGAGGTCGTTGTCACCACAGGGGGAACCAAGCATAAGTTCTGGCATGGCATCACCAGCGTGGGAAAGGAGAAGGTTCATGACGCTGGAGCTACGAGGGCTTGATTTTCATTGTTTGGGGGAAGTCAATCGGGTTTTGATATTGGGATAGGAAGTCGGGGCAGTAGGGATGAAACTAACGGGACGATATGCAATACAAATAATACTTGACCTATAATTCCTGGAGCCGTAGACTCTGTGATTGTGTTTACGTTAGCCAGCTGTATCCACAGACGATTTCTTCCGTCCCCGAAAAATACCGGCGACGACGGCAACGACGAGGCTCATCTTGCTTTTCTCCCTTCACGCTTCCCACCGGCCCTTCGAAGAAATTTCACAAGTCCTCCAACTCGGCGGTGGCGTTGCCGAAGAAGGGATTGTACTGCGCGTTGACGAACTGCGAAGACCAGATGACCGGCTCGGAGAGGTTGAGCGGCATTCTCTGCGCGCCTGCGTCGAACACGGTCGTGTCCATCATCGAGATCGGATACCAGTGGGAGGAGGAGGGGGATGCCGCTGCGGCGTGCGCGTTCTGGATGTTGTTGTTCACTGCCGCTTGTCCTCCCGCGCCGCCGATCATGGCGTTGTTGCTCATTTCTCCGGGGAGGCCGGATGGGCGGCCTGTTTGGCTCGCGAAGGGCAGTTAATATTCATTTCTAGGGGGGGAAGACATGTCGCTAAGAAGAGGAAGGGGGAAGTGGGTTTCTTTGTTTTGGGGGGGATTGGGTCAAACCAAACACTCCGTACCTTGAGGGTTGAGCCGGGTCTCTTTGAGGCCCTGCATCATCTTCTCCGCCAACCGGGCGGCATTGGAATTGGTACTCAACTCACGAAAAACGGTGAGACAGACGTCGGCGTCTTCGTCCACGGCAAGCCAGTCGATGTCTTCGACCTCACCCTCGTCGCCGCCCATACAGAGACTCGCTACTAACAGAATCGAGGTCGCGCAGATCAGGCATGAGATCATCTGCCACCAAGGAAAGTCGTAGATCAGCTGCTTCTTGTCCGCCACATTGTGGAGGAGGCGGGCGGTGTGCTGAGCGGCCACGACGCACTTCTTCTTCGACTGCACGATGCGTCCTCTCTCAGCTTGGTAGAAAGCCAACGGGTCGCGACACGAGCGCAGAAATCGCGAGGACGACAGCAACGGTCGGTGAATCAGGGCCTGCAGGTTGTAAAATTTGATGGCCAACATGTTCCTCTGCTCAGCATATTAGCCCGCGCCTTTGACAGAGCCAGTCTCTCATTCAGCTATGGAGAAGCTGGATTTCCACCTCGATAACTCACCTGGCGTTTCAATATTGTGGACTTCTGAAAAATGTGAGCGAGATCGAATCTCAGAGCGCGTGGCAGACTCGCTCGCCATTGCTGGAGATCATGATCCAGACTCTGAATGGTAGAAAGCGCCAGCACAGCATTGTCGGTCCGGTTGGGACCGTAGAGAAGGGAGAAGACCCGTCCGATGATTCCAGAGAACTGAATCATGGCAACGAAGTATTCACCATTGGAGCATTCCTGGTCCTTTGGGCTCAGGTTCCTCTTAGACTCAGCTGTGCCATTCGATATCGACATATCAGAGGCTTTGGACGGATATGCGACTTTGAAGTCCTCGTCGTGAATGGCTGGAGGCCGTCCGAGCTGCAACGAGAGCAGACGATCGAGGACATAGAGTGAGTACCATAGGCGCCGGCGATTCTCAACCACTGAAACTCGCTCCAAACTGTCCGATGCCAGTCGCTTGACATCCTCTGTGTGGAGACCGATACTTTGAGAGCTCCTGACTGCTTTCCCCAAAGTTGTCCAAGCCCTAGGTGACAGGGTTGTTAGGTCATAGCGATACATACGCTGTTCAAACTCACCGATCCGTTTGACAGGTTGCTAGCAGGTAAAAACACTGGGCAAGAAGTGCAGCAATATAGTCCATACCCTGTTCTTTTTCATTTGACTGTGAAATGGAGACTGCTTGATCGAACCAAAGATGATGTTGGTGAAGCTTAGAGCTTCTCTCGCATGTATCGGCAAACGTTTCGTAGCACGCCCCAATGGCAAAAATTGTCACTGTGGCGCGTGAGCTCAATCCACCATACACCTCGGGATGGCGACCCTACGAAGCACAGATAGCCAAGGTCCACGAAAATTCTGCAGGGAATCAGAACCCCAGAAGGCCTCGTACTTTTGCCTGAAGACGGGCTCCCAAATGAAAGGATAAGCCATGTGAATGGTGGAGAAGTAGATTTCAAGAAACTTGTCCGCAATGGCTCTGGGAGGGAGAGATTCGGCTGCGCTGTCTGCACAGGCCGTACGTAGGGCTCCATCTTGTTCGTAGCTATCAAGCTGCGTCGTCGAAGTATCGCCCTCAGACTGTTCAGCCTCGGAGCGAAGAGTGAGCGCCTGCTTCATCGTGTTGAAGAAAGTGATGTCACTGGCTTCGCCTAGAAACCGGCGCGACAGGACGGAGGCTGACTCTTGGTCAGGCAAAGACTGACTCGGGGGCGACTGGTTGGTGGTGCCAGTATCTGCCGCTTCTGGCGACAAGGAAGGGAGTTGGATGGCTGATACGCCCAAGTCGATGGCCTTTCGGTCGTTCTCCGGGAGACTGTTGCGCAATCCTTGAATGAGAAAGTCGTATCTTCTGATGGCTTGTCTCAATTTCTGGATCTCGCCATTTGCGGCAAGGAGGCTTAGTTGCGTCTGGCGGCTCTCAGAATGTCGCCTTCGGGTCGAAGGGACGTTCCAACGACAAGAATATCCGTAGCCCGCGCATCGTCCGCAGACGGGGCGTTGGCCGTCGCACTGTGCAATTCAAGATTTAGACCTCTGTCTTTTTGTATTACTCAAGCACACCAAACACAGGCAGCATAAGCACTGTAAAATCATGGGTCGGCTCCCACCTTGGATTTCAGGACTCGACAACTGTCACACGCGCGGGTGACGCGCCTTCGTTTCAGTCCCTCGATATTCTGCTTGCTTGACTCGGCCATTGCGACAAGCTGCGAGGAAGCCAATGCCTCGATATGTGTTATATAACCGCACCGTGCAAATCAAACGATTCGTCAGAGGGTGTAGTTGCAAAGACGAGTGGTAAGGGAGACAATCATGTTCTCATATTCTCGTGATAGAATTTTCTGCGAAGGGTTGCTGACAGGATCGCAATATCTGACCATTCAATTGAAGGTGGAACTGTCCACTCATCGCGTTGACTTTGCTGTGATGCTCTTCATTATGCCACGTCGAAGCCCCTCCCGGTTGATCCGTCATAGCCGCCGTTTCCGCCGTCTCCGCCACTTCCGAGGATGCGTGAGAAAGCAAGGCGTCCTCTATTAACTTTTACATTGGAAACCTAATACAAATATGGCCAACCATTGAGCACAACTAGAAAAGATCCCTTCACCGCTTCTAAATGAGGCGTTGGTGGCGTCAGGAACCTTCCCCTCCACCTAGTGTGACTAGATTGTTTGCATCACTCTTCTGTGTGGGTTTCGTCCACCCTGACACGATCCGCTGTGTGCTTAATCATTTGGACCCTTGCGCGTGTGGTTGGTTGATCGTAATGTCGTATGCTGAGAATGTCGATGACAACTATGGGTCAAGGTCTGTATCGGGTTATTGTACGATAGGGATATTACTGGTGGCAATGAAGAAAGAGTCGATCAGGCTGACGAGGCTCGCCTATCAGCTGGTGGTCGTACTCGCAAAGCTATTCTTGGTCAACTACCCCGTAGAGTGCTCAGCAAAGGAGGTCATGAAATCATCCTCTCCACACCTGCTCGAGACTTCTGGGTATTTTATTCTGTCGCGGAGTTGCGAACCAACTGCCGCAGCATTTACTCTCACCCAGATTTGCACGGAAGCTTACTGTGTTTCTGATACGAACTATCTGCTCAGCCGAATGTCAGCGACAAGAGTGGGACATACCAGGATATACCCAGGGTGTTGCGACTGAACTGATGATTTGTTGCGTTCCAGTTTGCCTGAATGAGGATTGCCTGTCAGAATCACTATACCGAAATGCCTGAACCTGAAGACTGTCGTTTGGTATCACATGCCAAATCAATCACCCTCCCAATGGTTATATGCGCAGTCTTGCTGCTCATATTTCGCTGTGCTGGAGCGTTGTTTGAGCCCACCACACCTGCAGAGGCTTTCTTTCAGTGATCAAACTCAGCTGGTCTATCCAAATGGCTATCAAGGACTCTTTCCTCGCCAACGGGACGACTCATGTCGTCCAAAGTACGCTAAACTACTATCTTGATCCCTCAAAAGGTGGTGTCAAGGAGTTCTACCCCTCCACAGCTGGAGCCTTTCGCAGGAAACACGACCCGCACCCCATCCAGATCGCAGATATAGGAGGCTTCGAGGAAGAATTCAACCTCGACAAGCAGGGTTTCGCGATCTTGCAGCACGAGACTGAAGAGAAACAATTCACTGACGATGAGGAAGTGAAGGAACGTCTCTTTTCTGAAATCACCGAGCTCTTGAAGAGAGTGTATGACATATTTAGCTGCAATTTGTGCTCGTATCTTGACCGGATGACTGATTGAGGACGACAGGACTGGCGCCACCCAAGTGCGTCCATTCTCCCACCTAGTCCGTCGGGATCGGTGGGAAGATGCTCAACGTGCCTGGGAGGGGAAGGAGGACCACGAAGTCATTCGCAAAAAGGTTCCGGCACGTTTTGCTCATGTCGATCACTCCTATGTCGGTGCCGAGCAGATCCTCCGTGACAATTTGCCGGATGAAGAGGAACGAGAGCGGCTCACAAAGACGAGGTGGGCAATCATCAATGCCTGGCGTCCGTAAGTATATTTCGACCGCAGTGCGCGTCATGGAGAGAGAAAAATGTGAAGTTGACATGTCCAAACAGCATTCGCGAGGTAACACGCGACCCCCTAGCTGTCTGCGATGCACGTACAGTTGAAGACTCAGACCTCGTCGGTGTGACAGCGCATACACCGCCACCAGAGAGCGGCTCGGTCGAAGGCGTCTCGAAGGGGAACAACTTCGAGACTTGGCTTGTCAAGGCGAATCCGGCCCACCGCTGGTACTACAAGAGCCACATGACGCCGCAGGACGTGCTGCTGCTCAAGATATTTGACTCGAAGAAGGATGGCCGCGCCAGGAGGGTGCCGCACACATCCTTCTACTCGGAGGAAGATTACGGGGATCCGAGAACCAGCGTCGAGATCCGGTGCATGGTGTTTTGGGAGAATGAGAGTCGCGAGTAAAATGAACTACGGGTGAAAATGTGCTGAGAAGTCGGCAGTCTAGAGTTTGAATAAGGACTACAGCGCTAACCACATCATCCATATACAGTAGGCCATTAATGGCTGGGCTAATATCGAATCTCCACCGTCATAACCAATCTGCAACAGCAGTGAAAGAATTGTTGACTTGCAAAATTGACCTTGGCCACGGAATGAAGTTAACAGGCCAGATGAAGTGCAGTCTTCAGACTACCCATCACCCAAAATGTATTGGGCATGGTCGACTAAGAATTGCCGAGAACAGCAGCAACAAGATGGATGAAAAGGGCGTCATCACGAGCACATTATTCCGCGAAAAGAGAAAAATAGGAAAAAAACTCCTAGCTGAAAAACATCGAGATATTGATCAACCAGGCTCCATTTGACAAATTATGCTATCGACTATCGAAGAGAAAAGCTGAGTGCAAAACCTGTGTCGGGTTTTCTCCCTGTTTTTCATGGGACCATCTCCGTCGTTACCACGTGCGCTAGTATGTCCAACTTTGCCAGGTAGAAGCTATTAGAGAAATGGAAAAATAATCCCCTCCAGAAATTTACAACGCAGCAGCGAGACCCACGAGGGCGAGGACACCGAGCTCGACCTTGGGGAGCGAGGCGGCACCAGTGTAGGTGGCGGGAGCGACTGGGGCACTGCTGGAGTATGGAGCATAGCCCCAGGTCGAGGTTGACACAGCAGCAACCGGAGTGCTGGTGCTGACGGCGGCAACAGGGGAGACAGAAGTCGAGCTCCAGTCGGCCCAGGTGACGGCAGAGCAGGTAGGAGTAACAGTCACGGTGGCCGTAGCGCAGCTGGTCTTCCAACCGCTGGCTGAGCAGGTGACAGCTAAGCTGGTGTATGGGCTGCAGGTGGTGGTGCTGACAGGGGAGACAGGTTTGCTCGTGGTCGTGGTGGCGCTCCAATCACCCCAGACTTCGGAGGTGGTGCTTGTCACGGCGACGGGCTTGCTGGAGGTCGTGGACGTGGCCCAGTCTTCCCAGCCGGAGCAGAGCGAAGAATCCCAGACGGTCAGGGTGCTGGTGGTGCAGGACTCCTTCTTCCAGGAGGTAGCGCAAGAGACAGATGTGGAGATGGTGGAAGTGCAGACAGCCGGCTTGGTTGTTGTCGTCGTGGTAGTTGTGGTGGAGGTTGTCCAGTCGGACCATAGAGCCTCGCAAGCGGCATCAGTAGGGTAGATGGTGACGGGCTTGGTGACGCAAGAGTCAGACTTGCCAGCGACGCTGCAGGAGACAGTCGAGGTGGTGGTGATTGGGCAGTACAAGGTGCTGGTCGGCTTCACGGGCTTCGAGGTCGTGGTCGTGGTCGTGGTCGTCGTGGTCGACGAGGTCCAGTCGAGCCATGGGGAGGAAATGGCAGAGCCAAAGGCAGAGCCGACAAGGGCAGCAACGACAGCAGTCTTCATTTTGATTTTGTTGAACTTCGGTTGAACGAGTGACAGAAGTTGGTTTAATTGAGCAGGAGCTAAAAACGAATGACTGAAGTGAACTTGACACGCTTGAGGAATAGAAAACAAGAACAGTCGGAGTGGTGGAAGATATAGGCCTCAAGTACTCGAAGCCATGAGCAGGTTTGACCCAAAAGGGGCCGGGGCATCCAGATGCCTGTGGAGAGGCGCGCAGGCGCAGCGCCATTCAGAATTTGCCAGCCAGCAAAAGTTCTCATGGCAATTTCACAAAGGAAGTTGGAGTCGGCTATTCCACCGCCTAGAAGGCACCAATCCTTCGTTAGGGGATGGGACCAGCAAACTTTGACTCACAGAAACAACTCAACCTCAGCCATAGGAGAAATCAGCCTTGAAGCCGGAGATGGTCGTGGATCAGGTGCGAGTGGATCGCGGGGGCCAGACTCATGAGACCTCAGCGCGTGCTGTGCTATGCAAAGGAAGAGAAACGTGCCGTGATTGGTCTGCTGTATGGGAAGAAGGGAGTTGATTTCCTGGACACGAGCTACCTAATTCCATACCGGGGAGCAAACAATAGCTGATTTGCCTGTTGTCGATTCCAGTGGATACGATCATAACCCATCTTTTGCCTCCCATAGCGGTGAAGCTGCCATTCACTATGTTCTAAAGGGGCCGGGCCTCCTGTTCCTTTCCTTTTCGACACCGGCAATCTCTGTCCAGGGGGAGATCAATCCTGTTGTTGAATTTAGCATGAGCCAGGCATGAGCGAGCACATTGCCCTGCAACCGTGGGGAAATACGCGGCCAAGTGGGGAGGCGAAGAAAAGCGGTTTGTGTCGAAGCAAAACAAAAGCGAGAGGGCCAGAGGGCCAAAAGCAAGAAAAAGTCCAGAAAACGGGTTTAGTAGAGATGAAACATCCACAGGTCTTAAAGGGTGTTGCATTGCCAAGAGGGCTATTCTCCGCCACGAGGCGGCTGCAGCCTATGTGCGGCGATCCCGAAATGAAGCTCAATCTTGCGGCAGTATCGGGCAGTATCGATAGTGGATTTAAGGTTAAACGCTAGTATGAACTATATAAAGGGGACCAATGAGCTTGACAGGCTTGTGGAATTGGCCGCGCTAACTGTAATTGTCCATAACCTGGAACCTCGAACTCGCTTCCGGATTCGGCGGGGCTTACCTCATTGTTGCTTTCTCTCACCCCTGGACATCCATGTGGCCACTGCTGATCGGCCTAAGTACATGCGTCAATCCAGAGTTTTTACCATCACGCCAGCCAAAGTCCGGAGTATAACCTGGGCAACGCTTTGACATGCTTTTTCATTCGACAGTAACCGCCCGAGTGGGGATGAATCACGGCTCGAGTGAAATAATATCAACAATGAGGACGTTGACTGTCTCGCCGTTTACCCGTGCAACTCATTTTCATCGGATTTCGATTCTGCCGTTGCCTACAGCTAGGTACGAGCAGGTGTAGAGAAGCACCACGACTCGACTCTACGCTCGCATACCTACCATAAATTAACGGCTAGTATCTTTACTACACTTCAACTAAAAGCTGTTGTTGGGCAGTTATTATCCAGCGTTATTACTCGGTACACAGTGCGAATGGGCGGCTTGGCAAAGTCTGTTTCACTCGTCACTTTAAACTTTCTTTTCGCATCTGTCTTCCGCATCAACTTGCAAGCCACTCTGATCGTTATCGTTTGACCTCTGGAAAGATAGGAATCTCAGCAAATGCATATTACATACTACAATATACATGAACCCTCTGCTCTCGGACTCGGACTCTTGGTTTCCGTATCACAGGCTGATTTGGGACACTGTTTGAGAGACTCACATCTATCTGTGGCGCAGGCTAGACGAATGACGTGATTTTGAGGCTGCCCTTCTGCCGCCTCGTCATTTCCCCCTGAACACCTTTTGCGGAACGGACTCTGGATGGGATTCTGGTTTCGAACGCTTCCGCCAGCTCTTGTTCTACTTATCCAGTGATGCGAATGAAAGACGAGGCCAATCGAGTGGACTGAAGTCGAAGTTTCAGCTCCGTTTAGACTAAAGGCGTTTCAGAACTCTGTTGATACCCTTTGACAGCTGTCTTCATCAGTGTCAACCTTGCTGGTATTCCACTGACTGACGTCGCCGAGATGACCGAGGACTACGGCCCGGACAGTCTCGTTGGAGCGATCCAGGACTTGAGTGATCCGTGATGACGCGAACCGACCCAGCGATCAATTCTTTTACTTCCACCTTCCTCTAGCCTTTAAGGCAATGATGGAACCACAGGTACATGCTCTTATTCCGCCTCGTATCTTGCTTCCTCAGACCAATGTTGCATCTCCTATTCACAAACGCGATGTTTGAAGATGACGACGAGAATTGAGATCCGCCCTTCGGCCAACCTCCAACCAGACATGCAGTCTTTGTTGTTTCTTCTACCGTCCTGTAATTGCGTATCACTCTTGGAAGGTGGCAGTTGCTGTTCATCGGGACCAGCGGGAGGAGGAAAAGATTAGAAAGAGCGCTATTTTGCAAGGCATAAATATGTATTCTAAGTCCTAAAGCTGGACAGCTGGAAACGTGAAGGAATATCCATGTCTCACATTCATCCCCGTGCTGTCTGTCAATCTCTCTCCGTCCATTGTGATAGGACAGGAGCGCTGTCTGACAGCAGCATCCTTCACACTACATTCCCTGTCGGTCCCGGCCTCCGGCTTCTTCAACCAAGGGTCCAGCTTCATTTTCCTTTTGTCAACTGGATGAACTTCTCGACCTCGGATGCAAGACGAAGTCTGAATCCGCAGAAATTTCGATCTGGCTTAGGTTGAGTAGAGACCGCAAGTCCGAGGCCTCGTCATACAATTGTGGCAAAACATACCGGTTCCTTGCCGGTGGCTCTTGGTTTCTTGTTCTTCCTTGCAGCGATCGTCACTATTCTCGAAGAATCAAGTTGCTGATGCTGTGCTTTAGAGCAATGGACGAGAGAGAATCAAGAAGTTACAGACCAGGAGGCAGTTTTACGTCTGCAATGGACACAACAATCTAGGAATCACTTCTCTTGTCTCGGTTGCGCACAGCCACGGCAGCTGCTTTACTGCTAGAATCTCTCAGCTGCAAGTGCGCCTTCGATTCTAATGTTACCGCGCTCTCTGAGATACCGTTCAAAGTCATCGGGTCCCGACGAGATTGAAACAAAACACAACGTTCTTACTCAATTTATTACCACACCATTCTTTTTCCGTGCTATTGGTCGTCGTGTGACTCAAATAACGCTGACATTCTACATACAGGCTTCACCCGGTCAGTCTTCATCTCCGGCTTTGTCACACTACCCCTACGCGACAGTGAATTGGCCTTTCCTTGTCGTTGCCGCACACGAAGGCATAAAAACTCCCATCACCTTCTTGTTCATGCAACCTGCTGTCGTGTTCAAAAATGCTCCTTGCACGGAATACTCTTTTCAATCGAAGAGACTGGATCGAAGAGGACCGTCTCGCCCAGAAGATCCTCGCAGGCACCAAAGCCTGATACGTAGAAGCCATATCCAAGATCCAGTCAGAGGCTTCGAGTGCATGACTCTATAATGCAATACAGCCCCCCACTAGCGAGATTTATAGCTGTATTTGTTATGCTTGTCACGGCTGCCAGATTCATGGTCCTGCACAAGGACTATCAGACCAACCCATTCGCGATTATATGTCAAGCACCTTTGATAATGTATCTTGCAAATCAGTATTTAATGGCAAACTGCACCTGTCCGACTTACCTCTGAATCCTACTACCAATACCGTCAAGTTCTGTTATAGGACTCTCGATTTCGACGCCGATTCGGACCGAGAGGATTACCTTTAATAGGTTTTGAAGGTGAAATCGACAAGGACAAATACCTCTTCCGGCCAGAACTAGGTATGTTTAACGACGATATATGTCCGATCATGGGACTATCAATCTCGATGACGGTTCGGACGGAGAAGTCAATGAAGACTTCTTTACACAATCCCTGTGGCTCCCTCTGGGATTTCGATAGGCAGCCTTTCCAGGACCCTCGCGCCGTTGATCCACCTGAAATTTATGATGAACAGGACTTCCGACAGTTACGAAAATGGCCATCATTTACACGATCTCACTCCCACGCTCTAAGTGCTACTTCGCATACCCATCGGTGAAGCTTCTAGGCTACGAGGTATTACAGCTGGGCATTGGGACACCCGCGGATAAGGGTGGAAACCATCTAACGGAAGAAGAGTGATTCCATCACACACGATATCCCCTGACCGACGGCTTCAGATGTTGCGCAATGACTGACACCAATAGATGACCCGATCATTTTATCCCCAACTTCCTTCTGCGTCTCACAATGAAGCATTACGCTACAACTCATGGCATCGCCTGGGGAATGTGGCAAGATTGTTCGAAGAAAATGTTGATGTCGTGATGTCTGTCCCGGACTGTTGCGGGCCTGGCACTGCAGATATTCATTCGTTCCTCGCTCGATAGGTAGATACCAATCAATCACTGATGAGTCACGCATAGCGCCTACCAAATAGTAGCAACGCTGGTTCGTGTCGAGGGTTTTTCACCCGCCCATGTGAGAGCACAGCTGTCACTGTGAACGGCACCGGGAAACAATAGTGAGAGCTAGATCCCAAGCCATCAGGGGCGCAGGACCCTACAAACCCCTCCAACACCTCACTACCACCTCATTTGTCTGTCGATCCAGCTGTCACAGGTCCATCTCAAAGCACTACCAGCTCATCTCCGAATGAGCTCCACGACACTCGAGATCTACTGGACACAGTCGAGGTCGATGATGCCTCGCGCGTATGTCTGGGGTCGATCCCGGAACACCCTCGTCTTGCGTGTAAGTATTCCGAGTACCTAGGGTTGCAACAAGTTACGTATCTTCAAGGTCCTTCCCGACAGGATCCCGGCTCCTGACTTCCGTGACCCGCGAGACAATGACGACGGATGGCAATGAACCTAGTGACTTGAACCGATTCGGAACTCTTCGTAACTTTTCTGGCGCGCCCCAGACCGCAAACCTTGTGCACATATCGAGGAATCTTGTCTCATCCAGCAAAAGCGAGAGCAAAGTCCAAACTGTAAGTGATTACAATTTGTTGCGACTTCCTGCGCTGACCGGTACAGCCTGTGTGAAGTGTGTTGGGCTCTTCCAGGCCTTTGTGTCCTGCCGCTCGGTGCCCGGAATCCATCGAAGTACTGGGTCGTCCTGTTTCGCGATTGTGCGTAACCAACTTGGCGCAGCCCATATTTGCTGTGTTTTCCAGAGTATACCTCTGAATAGCACGTTGGTCGGCCCGGGTCATGTCAGCTGCAGCCAGTCGGTATGGCATTGAGGCGTGGGGGAACCTTGCCGTACCTCGAGCCAGAAGCCATCAAACCAGCCCTCCAGCTCACCCGGTACTTCGACAAGGGCAACGGGTGTCGAGCCTGCCCCAGCGCAAATACGAGGCGGGCGAGTACCGGAAGATATGGGGCACGTTTGCCCGGTATCTCGTCAAAAGACCCAGCGACTAGACAAAGCATATCAAAAACCCAGAATCTCAACCGGTGGTCATCGTGGCATGGGCTACCATCGGCACATGTGCTTGACGACCTTCGATATCCGCCTCAACACTCTGCTGCTTCGTAAGAAAGGCCAGGGTGCGAAAACTCGAGACAGAAATACCTAAGAGACTAGGTTCTCCTTTCGCCCAGTATTTCGGAAGAGCCCATCACCTTGGGAAGTGAAGAGGCTGGATCCTCAGGTATCTTTCTGGACGTGGTCATAAGTTCGGACAGGGAACAAAGAGGTCTGTTAGAAAACCCCAAAAGATGAGGAATGCAAATTCCTTCTAATGGGAACGTTGGAAACTTCAAAGCCCGTTTGGTGGATGTGGGACAACGCAAAAAGCTTGTTTGTAGTTTGACGAACACAGAATCGCTCACAAAAGCTTTTACAACCACCGCCGGTACAGGCGATAACATCTCAGAGCAGAATGTCAACGCCTCAGCTACAAAAAGACGCGAATGAGCTATTGTTATGATTTGTGAGACAATCCCACGGGGCGCATAAGGAAGCAAGCGACCACATGGATTATTGCAACGGGCAAAACGGGGCAGCAGGGAGTGGCATCACAGCTCTAGAGGGAAGGTTAACCTGACACGTGATAACACTACGGCATTTAGCGATATTCGGTAGCTCGACGATGGCGGCGGTTGATCCGCGTTGCCGCCGTCGGCGCCTTCCAGATAAGTGCTAGCTTTACACGTGACGATAAGAAATCGGCATTTGAGCCGACGATGGTGGCATTGGAGATTTCAAAGATTTGACCGCATCGTTACACGACCCCGATCTCTTCTTATTGACAACCTTCCCTTCTGTCACAATTGCCCGTCCGATGGACCAGATCGAAGCGGAATAGATTAGCTTCACGTCGACGTCTATTCCGAGCATGAGAGGCGGGAGGCAAGCTGCCAGCTGCTGTCACTGTCTCAAATATCTGTGCTCGCCGCATCCATTGTTACCGCATACCTGCCGAGGATGGGCAATCGCCACCCCAGCAGTCGACGAGCCTCGTCTGTACACCGCGAAGATCTAGAGGAGGCCGCTCCACATTTGCTGGATCGCACTGGATCGCAGGAATTCAGCCTTGTCGAGAGCGTGGCTGTCCAGGAAGTCCCGCCCGAAGACGAATCACCTGATGTAGCTCCAGCGACATGGCCCCGGTCCGTGAGGTATCTGCTCTTCCTCTGTGCCTTCCTGACCAGTCTGAGCTTCGGAGTAACCCAAGTGCCGCTGTTATATGTCTTCAGGCTCATGACTTGCGATGCTTACTATAAAGATCACCCTTCTGGAGTTTTGCACGGAGTTGGACGCTCATCCACAACCGGAACGTGGGCTTCGATCCTCTCCGCGGCACTGGCACCATCGGCTTACTCGACCACTCCAAACATTGGAGACGATGCTGATCGATGTTCTATCCATCCAATTGAAAGCGCGACAGCTTTATCGGTATCTTTGCTGGGTGCTAGCACCACCGTTTTCGGGACTGTAAACCTTTTTCTGACCGGCAGTTTGATCAAGCGCATCGGAGTCAAGCCAACATTGATGACTCAGGTGTTCTTTCCCGCCCTCAGGCTGGTGATCCAGAATGTGGGTGTCGAAGTCTGGGGAACCGCGGGCATCATCATCATCCAGTGCTCCCAGATTGTCACCATCTTTGGGGGACCCAGCGGGTACCTGCTAGCACTCAACACCTTTATTACGGACGTTGTGGAGCACGAAGGCCGAACAGCGGCTTTGGGTAGACTGACTGGAAGTATGATGTTTGGCTCTGCCTTAGGTTTCTTGTTGGGTGGTGTTGTGGCCGAAGCCTTCGATATCAAGGCCCCCTTCCGTTTGACCTTGATCCTCTTTCTGACTTCGTGCGCGTACGTTTTTGTCTTCCTGCCGCACATCCCGCCCCAGCCGAAAGAGGACGATACGAATTCGATGAAGGTCAAGAAGACGAAGGTGACTTCAGCCTTTACCAAGTTCTTCGATCCCCTGATGGTGTTTGCGCCTCGAAAATTTATCCTAAGAGACGGTCTTGTCAGAACAGAGTACGGTGCGTTCCTGCTTGCCTGGGGGGTGTTTCTCGGGATTCTAGCCACAGGTAAGCTTTTCTGGTTGGGGTGTGATATCCTCGCTAACATTCACCACAAGGGTACCTGCCAACTTTGCTACAACTTTATTCAACAGACGTCTTTGATTTTGGTACACAGCAGAATGGTGGCCTGATTTTTATGTACTCTATGCTGAGGGGTGTTTTCTTGACATTTGCGTTCCCGAAGTTGATTGCCATCGGGAGGAAATGGGCAGTGAAGAGAGAGCAGCAGCATATCGCAAATTCCGAAGAGGTTATGCCGTCAGAGCGTGCGCCTCTTTTAGCAGACTCCCGAGATCAGGCGGCTGCCGACAATATCCACAGATCAAACGACAAGGAGCTCCAGAAGGAGCAAACATTTGCTTTTGACTTGACATACACCAGATTTTCGCTGGTTGCTGATGGATTTCTAACTTTGCTTTGTTCCTTCGTTCATCAAGGTTGGCAGATGTATCTCGTTGCGGTTGTTCTACCTTTCGCTGCTGGAACTGGTTCGGCGGCAAAAGGGACAGTTCTTCAAATGGTGGGAAGTTCTGCTACCAGCAATGAGAGAACTGACGCTCTCGCCGGAGTATCTCTGGTCGAAAACATGGCTCGACTGTCAACGACCTTTGTGTTTGGTATCATTTTTGCGGCGTTTGCGAGCATCGGAAGAACGGAACTTGTTTTCACGTGCAACGCGGTAAGTATTCCTGCTCGACAAAGGCAACTTGTTATCAGAAGCGACGCTGCTGACTTTGCTTCTCAGGCTGTCGCGTTGATAGGGTTCGGAGTATTGCTATTCGCTCGCTTTCCTCCAGAAGGAAGTCGCAGGCTTGACCAAAAAGATGTCGCAAATCCTGCGTCTTGATGCCTTATATGCGCAATGATGTCTACATGATTCAACCCACGCTGCAAAAGTATATTTCAACTTTTAATAGGGAGCCCTCTCGCGACCAAGTTTCATTTCAGAGGACAACGAATAGTACAGTCCATTTCTCCGAGTTCAAGTCACCAACAGTGTTGCCTTCCCTCTCTGGCCTCCAAATGACCTGTTAGAGCTGGTCCGCATCGACCATCAGCTTCGAGAGCGAAAGAACTCAGAGTGTTGGCCTCCAGTTTCAATCTTTATCACTACATCACACTCTCTTTCAACTTCACCCACGCGGAATAAGGGACGACAAGGCACGGGTATTATAGCTAAATCTCTTGCGTTGGTTATACTGCTGCCTTTAGACAACTTCAGGGTTGCTTAATGTGGAGCTTCGTTACCACTGTTCGAACTTCAGCCGCTTCACCAGATTATCAGTTCTCGGAATCACCTAGTGGCTTTGTCTCTTGTATGGTCTGGCCATATTGTCCGGGGTCGGTGAATCTTCGACCGTTGCCTGTCACCAGACCCCAATGGGAGTCTGTGTGATGCCTCGTTGTTACCGCAAGACACTGCAATTATCACCCAGGATTCATGGCCCTCGTTCGCTCAAACAACTGACACACCATGCTTGACTCTTCTCCAAATATCTACATCTTTATAAGAGAACGACTGCAATATGTGGATCATCAATCATCTGCTCAAACTCCCCGCGGCTGTCGTTACACACTTGCTCACCGAGCATCAAAGCGACTTCGAGACCCTTCAGCAACAGCCAATCTTGCTTCATATCTGATGCCTCTACGACCCAGCTTGACATGGCTCTCGCCTCCTACTCTCCTAGGCGCCTTCACGTAATCAACCTGAGACTGTCTGCCAGATCGTTCTAACTTTGGGTCGTGTAGCCTCTGGGACTTTATCGAGCACCGGATATCGGACAGAAATCGAAAACGATATCGCGAGTTTCCTTTGCCCCCTCCGGAAATACGTGCATACAATTTCTCCGATGTCAGCATCATTATCCCGACGGTCGACACAGATCCCACATTCTCTGAATGCCTTGGCGGCTTGCTTAAGAATAGACCGCTTGAGGTCCTCATTATCACCACCGTGGAAGAAGAAGATAGAGTCCGAGCACTTGTGCGCACTCCGTCCGTGGAGGACAATTTGCGGGGGACAGATATCCACATCCTTACAGTTCCGAAGGCGAACAAGCGAGACTAACATTTGCGAGGCATAGTGCAAGCAGAGGAGGTATTATGGTGTTGGTCGACGACGACGCTTACTGACAACATGACGCTGTTTTGAATCATCTGCTGGCACCTTTTCAGCAGGAAGATATTGGACTCGTCGGTGGTCCGATAACGTGAGTTGTGCTCGCAAAGATCAAATTTCCTTACTCCTAGGAACTCAAATGTCAACTTGTTGCAATGCAAGATACTGACATCGAATCCTTTTGGCAGTTCACACCTACCAACCAAAAGAAAGAACCCGAACGTCATCACGCCGGGGGAGGTCGCAGCCATCCGTCTTCGGGGGAAACGGCATGGAAGCATGAAGAGTGCATACGAAGCGGATGGCGGGATCAACTTTTGCGTCTCAGGTGTCACAGCACTACTTCGTTCCGAGATCGCGCGTGACCCAGCGCTACAAAGTGCCTTTGGGAACGACATGTGGATGGGCTAAGGACAAAATTCCGGCGACCACAGCTTCATCACGCGCTGGGTCCTATTCCAGCATCTTTTTAGACCCCAAGGGCCCAGCAACGATCAGAAGAAACCAAGGCAATGGAAACTTGGCATGCAGCTCACGAAGGAGGCGGAAGTCGGCACCTCCATCATGCCCGACTCGCGCTTTGCCAGCCAAATGAAGCGGTGGTACAGGAGCGGCCTTCGTCACTGGCTGATGTGTCTCCTGTACGAACCCGGCTTGCGGGGGATGTACAGAACATGTCCTCACATGACGCGGAAGATGGTTGAGGGGATGCTCAACCCAGTGCTGTTGTGGGTGCGTCTGTATTGCTTCTGGAGAAAATTCCATGTCTGTCTGTGGTTCGCGCAAGTTCTCTATCTTCCCTATCGCAGCTCATACACGGACGCTTTATTTATTCTTTCTTGAGCTCTCGCCTCCCCTCCCCTCCTCTCTCCGCCAAGCTAACACGTCCTCTACGGAATAGTTGGTTCGTTCTCGGTATGGACGGATACATCAACGGCCTCGTCGAATTTGCCAACGAATATCCCTTCGCCACGCCCTACCTGTGGGCTGCTGTTCTCGTCGACAGACCCTACCTCATCTCGGACTGGTACTGTTGGGTCACACTAGGAACAGAGGCATGGATGACGAGGCAGAGAGTGGACGATAATGCAGCTGATGTAGCTGCTCATAGAAGCGGCATCAAGGAAGAATAGAGTCTTTATCTCAGTACCAGATAATCCTTGCTGGTCAGTCCATGCGTTTGGGACTGGTATCCTGGAGACGCTGAACAGTAACGGCTGAAAAGTTATTACACTTCTAGATATAGATGAAAGGAAATTATACACATAGGCGCCGCTTAATCCGAAGATTGCACTTAAAGGTGCTCGTGGTATGCTCTTCCGGTTAGCTCTCGTGCAAGAACTGCCTAAACCAGCCCACAGCTGCGTTTTTGGCCCTCGCCATCGCCTCCCTCTCTCCGGCCCTCTCAGGGTCTCCTCTCACAAGACACCCATGCTCCACCCCGGGCAAGTGCAGGTAGTCAAAGTACACGCCCGCTTTCGGGACAGTCTCAAAGGTATGCGCCTTCAGTTCGGCCGTGTAGGTCGGGTCATCTTGCGGAGCCAAAATCTGCACGGGAACAGCGACTTCATCAATGTCCTTCCTCGTCAATAGACTCGGATGGCCCGCTGTAATACAATCCACCAATGGGGGCTGGTGTTCCTTTGCTCCGAGACGGAAACAAGCCCATCCGCCGTAGCAGAATCCAATGGCGCCGACCTTCTTATACTTAGCGCGCAGGAGACGAGCGCACTCAAAGATCTCGGGTTCGCGGATCTCGCGAGAGTTTCTGTTCAAGAAACCTACAAAGTCGACCTCGTGGAATCGGCCTTTGAGGATCGGTTCGAAGGGGAGGATCTCGCCGCCGAGGAAGTCTGGTACGTAGACCGTCGCGTTGGCTTCTTGAGCGTAATGGTCCGCGAGGAGCCTTGCGTTGGGAAACGTCCAGCCTAATGCGTCGTGGATAAAGAGAACTGCCCGATCCGCGGTGTCACCAGTGATATATGTGTCGCTTTTGCCGAGCTTGTCCATGCGGCCGGTAGGCGTTCCTTCCCACTGGAAGCTTTTGAGGCAGCACGAGGTCATGGCCATCTCCGTCTGCACAACTAGGTCTTGAGGTGCTGCGGACGTAGCGGAGTGTTGGAGGTGGCTTTGGATGTTCGCTCAACAAGCTTCCCTTCAATCGTTCAGCTTTAAATGGAAAGGCCGATCTCGTATTGGCTTGGAACCGTGAGTCACAGTGCTGTCGGAGATAAATTTGATTGGAATGACTTTATTCGGTTAATGAGTGCTAGCAGGGGCGGAGGCCCCGATATCGTGGGGATATGATATCGAGACATGTTTCAGCCGAGGACCGGAACGAATATCGGAAGCCTGACATGAATTGGCTCTCTTGACATGTCTGCACGGTACAACCTCACATCTGCTTCAAGAAGGAACCCGCCGGCCTCGGAGAGACTCTTGAGAAGCTGGGGTGAAAAGTAGAGGGACGGCATTCCGGTTGACGGCGCGGGCTCGCTCGAAGCAACAGTGGGAACATGCGAAACCCAATATCCCGCATACAGGATGACAGTATAGCTTCCTCAAGCTGAGATCGAGGATCGATTTCCCTACAATTCACGAGCTTCATCTGTGTTCAACTATATCCGTATTCCTGCATGGCGTACCTTCCGATCTCCCACCCTCGCTGCGACCTGCCGATCTGCTGCACACAATCTTCCAGCCAGGCTACTTGCGGGCAGCCACCATTCTGACGAAACACAATGAGTGCCATGCGGATGGGGATGACCAGTTGAATGGCATGGGCCCGGGTCTCTGATGGCGTCAGATAGAGAGGCATCGTTCGACAGATATCAAGAGCCGCTTCGCGAGCTTGATATACCAGAGAAGAATTGGAGACTCCAGCGGGCCCACCGTTCAGGTGTCGGGTTATTTCGTTGGTAGAAAGATCAGGTAGCCGCCTGATCTCACCTTCGGAAATGGACTTAGGGCTTGTGGATGGCCTTATTTGTGCCTTCCGAAGCGTCTTCCAGAGTTCCAAAAGAATAATCACCGTAGTGTTGTACAGGATGAATGTGTAGCCTTGGGTAGGTATGTTGTCGAAGACCAACTTGGAAGTAAATCCGAATCTTTGCTGTTCCAACCGTGACAGAGGGACCTCCTCAGCTTGTGGCCTAAGCTCACGCTGCCACTTGATGTTCCAATCCCGCAGACGTTGGAGAAGGGCCGCAAAATCTGTCTCGAGGGCAAGGTTCAGTTTTGCCTTTGCGGATAGATCTGTTGTTTTCAGATAGTGAATGAAATTCAGATACAAGTCAGGAAGCTCAGAAGCGAGATCGATCAGATACTCTACAGGAGCCTTTGGTGATTGAGAAACTGACCAGGGGACGTTCTTCCACTCTTCTGAGGCGAGACATGTCGGACATCGGGCGGCGATGGCTGCAATAATCATACAAAACCGATCGGTTTGGAATGCCCACATGACATATGGCTCTTTAAAGATCTTGAAGCCATGAAGCCGGAAGAACTCGGTCAGACCCAGCAGATGCTGGATCCAGGCAGTGCCGCTTGTTGCAGTAAGATACTTGATTTAAGTCAGCTACTTTGGCTCGCTGAAAGGCCAATTTTGATACCCACCTCGCAGATGGTGAGGATCGTGATGGAGAGTACAGTGTGGCCTGGAGACGAGTGCCCAGGTCGAGAAAGACGCTCATTGAGCTCTCTGAGAGATTGGACATAGAGGTTCATTCCTTCTCGTTGTGCCTGTTCCACGTTGACCCTCCGGCCAAAAAATGATGCAGCAAATGACATCATGCAACGCCGAGGAAGGCAATCAGGCATACAAAGAGCATATAGTCCTGGCCAGCGTTCGTCAACAAACGCATTGCCGTCCTGCAGCTCTTGGTTCATATAAGTGAAGTATAGATCATCCCCCAAAATACTCAGGCTAGGCTTCGGTCCTGGCATGTGCGATGATGCTTTTTTTCGAGGATGAGCTCTTTTACGCAGTCGATATGCTGGATTGTCGTTGATGAACTCGAGATTGTTTGGATAACCTGCGCATTCGAGCTGGCTTTTCTGACACCGGACACATTTCGGTTTGGTCTCGTCTGGGTGGAGATTAGCACACGATGCGACAGAGTGACTAGCGGTGGTGGTGGGCAGCTCACCACACTTCAGACGTCTCTGGCGGCAGGTAAAGCATGCCTTTGACCGCCTGCACACCCTGTTAAAAGTCCCGTCGAGAACTGAATGTTATTTGAAAGAGCCCGGCTAACTCACCCACCACGGCCAACCATAGTTGCTGATTCATAAAGGGGAGGAAACTCAAAGAAAAGGATGTTGCTACGTGCGCCTTCAAGAAATCAAGTCGCAAGTCTTATACGAAAGTATCGAAAGGAATGAGAGGAAATGCCGTCAGCTCTGGCATTGTTCTCCGGTGGTCATGTCCGCAAAAGAGGCATTGCTGGAGCCTTGGTGGCCTGAAAGAGAACAGATCGTCTGTCCAGCTGAAAGTGAGACAGTAGTCTGGTTGGCGGGCAGGAAGACCGGAGAGAAGTGCTTGGAAAGCAATAGCCGGGACTGTTCGTAGTCATGAAGAGACTGACGGCATGGGGAAGGGCAAAAAGGGTGAATGTTGAGGCTGAGCATCACGAAGGTCGGTGGCTAGGGATGTTTCGCTATTATGAAGAGCCTTCGAGGCTGCAAGCTGGAAGCTGTGGGTTCAAATGGGCAGCGACTTCGCAACACACCAATCGAAAAATAGACCGCTTTAGGAAGGTGGGGCAAGTGGGGACGCGATCCACGACACCAAACTGGTTTATTTGATCTATTTGATCTACTCAGTTCCTCTACCAAACCATCGTCACGACGACAACACAGGCGCGAACGTCCAAACACCTCATCCAAGGCTAGCAGAGATCAGCCTTGCTGCCTGACTCTATTCCAATTCAGGACGATTCCTCGAGCGGCCTTACATCGTCTCGCCGGCGATGATGGATACAGCCCTTGTATCCTTTTCTAAGGGTATAAAAACCCCAAAGGCCACGCCTTTAAGTATGGATCAAACACAACCAGCTCACACAACGATTGCAAGTTTATTTCCATCTCTTAAATCATCATGGTATTCCTACACTCTATTACTGCTCTTGCCGCCGTTCTAGCTTTCGACGTAGCACATTGTGCGCCAGTCACTGAGCCACTCTTCTCCGAACTCTCCAACCCATCCTACGGTCCCATTCCGGGCCAGTCTTCCTTGTACAGCACATACAGCGGCAAAGCAGCTCCATTCCCCGGCAATGTCACAGGTGCCATCCTCAATACCACCGCTGGACCTCCCGGCGAAGACGACCTCCTCTTCCAAAACCTGCTGTCTGCCGAATTGGTCATCTTTTCCTTCTACCAACAAGGGGTCGAACGGTTCAACAGTACTGCCTTTATCGAAGCCGGCTTCCCCAATACCACGTACGAGCGCATTCAGCAAATTCGCGACAACGAAGCCGGCCATCTGCGCATCTTCCAGGATCAGATTTCCACCAACTCGGTCAAGCCGGGACCATGCCAGTACCAATATCCCTACGAGGACCCCCTCAGCTACATTGCCGTTCAGACGGTCATTGAAATCTCCAGCATGGCTTTCCTCACCGGTCTAGAATTGCAAGCCAAACTCACTTTGTCCAAGGCGGCCCTTGTTGCCATAGCCGCGACCGAATCACGCCACAACACATGGTCGCTCATTGACAATTGGAAGTCCACTCCGTTTGCCGGTCCAGCAGATACTATCTATCCGTATGCGAACCAGATTCTAGACTTCACGAATGAATGGATTGTCAACGGTTCCTGCCCGCCGGAGAACCCTATCTATCCTACCTCGCGCCAGAATCTTCCACAAATGGCACCCGCCGCCAACACAACGTCGATTACACCGGGCTCGACTCTGGTGTTCAATTTCACCCAGCCGGACAACCAACCTCATTTCACCCCGCAGAAGGACTACTATGCCGTCTTCTTCCACGGCGTCTACAATATATCTGTCGCCTTTAACACAACGACATACAGCGCCGTAATCCCGCCACAGATCGAACCGCTGGGGATCGTCATTGCCGTTATTGCTGACGAGCAAGGCGCACCCACCAAGGAGAGTGTTCTTGCCGGAACGTTAATTCTGCCTGAGAGTCCTGCCGCCCTCAACAGCGCATATGCTTGAAAACGGTAGAAAATGGTGGATACCATACAGCTAGTATCCCGAGACTGAGACGGATAGGGCATTGCGCCTTGATCAGAGAGCGTTGAGATACGCATCTCTAGCCCGGGCACTGGGCAGGCCATCTAGATTTATTTCTTTCCTCAATTGCATTAATTTAGATCATAGACATTCAGGCAACCATTCCGGCGTCAAGGTCAATTCATACTCAATTCATATCCTTCTCGCACCCGGACTACGGCTAAAGATATCGCCGCTCGGTTTGTTAGTTGTCGAAGTTATCAAAGACCTAGAAAAGACCAATCCATGAATCTACGTTTCAGAGCAGATCTTTTTCAACGGGTCATCAATTCAGTTATTCTCCACAGAACTCGATCAGTCAGTCGTCCAAGTTCTCAAAATCTTTCCTTGCTTCTTCCACGAGACGCGGGTCGGTGAGTACGCGTAACGCCAGCATCGCCATCCCCTTGCCGCATTGGATCGCCGCCCTGTGCGCCTCGTCTGTTGCCGCGTGTCCGGCGAAGCGCGGATGATGCATTGAGACGTTCGCGTCCGTGGGGATGGGGAATGCGCCGTGGAAGCTCGGGACCTCGAACGAGACGTTTCCTGCGAGGCGCATAAGTTAAGGTTAACGGGTTTGACTGACTACAGTTTGCTTGCTTGGTTTGCTTTTTCGCGCTGTGACAGTGATGTGATGGAATAAAGGAAGGGAAGGTGGCTTCTGTACTTACCCATGTCCGTCGACGCTGTGTACGACTCATCATTCTTGACCATGATCTTCTCCCCCAGCGTCGCCATGTCCTCGACGTATTGTCGGCACAGGGGCAGATTCACCCGGAGATTCTTATATGAAGGGGCCCTTGGGACCAAAAGCCGCGTTGTCAGCCAAAGACCCCCCTTACAAAACCCACGAAATCATCATCACAGCGTGCCAAGGGGGACCGGAGGGGGGGGGGAAGATGTAGAGTCAAAACTCACGGAATGTAACTGATCTCACAGCCCGTGGCTGCGGCTGCCGCCTCACAACACTTCTTGACCTTGTGCAGCAAATTGTCCGCCCTCACCATGTCCGGGGCCCTCACATACCAATTCATCCTGGTGTAGGCGGTAATGACATTGGGCACCGTCCCGCCATCCTCAATGACGCCGTGCACGCGCTCGTCCGGTCTCATCTGCTGCCGCAGCATCGACACACTGTTGTACGCCGCCACGGCCGCGTCGAGGGCATTGACGCCGTTCCACGGTTCGCCGGCGGCGTGGGCCTGTTTGCCACGGTACTCGACCCGGAATTTGTGGGAGGCGATGAATTTCAACCCCGCCAGTCCCGTGTACCCGCCGCGGAACTGGTGAGCCGTGACTGGGTGTGCCATAATCGCAGCCACGATGTCTTTCTCGCGAAAGGCGCCGGCGTCGATCAGTTTGCACTTCCCCCCGCCACCTTCCTCGGCGGGCGTGCCGAGAAGACGTATCCGCCCCGGTAAGCCGGAGGATTTCAACGCTGCTGCGGCGCCGAGGAATGCTGCGATCGAGGACGTGGCGATCAGATTGTGGCCACAGGCGTGGCCGATGTTTGGCAAAGCATCGTATTCTGCGCAGATGATGACCAGGGGCCCTCCATTGCCGACTTCACACGTGAAGGATGTTTCGAGACCGTATGTGTGCTCGGTGACAAAAAAGCCTTCCTTTTGCAGGAAGGCAGAGATGGTCTTCACAGCGAAGAATTCCTTATACGCCAGTTCCGGGTTGCCGTGAATTGTCCGGTTGAGCTCTCTCAGTTGTGGATCAGCGGCATCAATTGCGTTAAGAGCGACCTTCAAGGACTGTGCCACATCAGCGTTAGACGCAGACGTGGACGACGCGGGCCCAGCCATGGCAAATACGCCGAGAGATAGGATGGTCGCAGGAAGATGTGTGTTGTCAGGATCGGCTACTATTCCTGAGGAGTGAAGAAGACGGAGGGGCGAGCAAGAACTGGGGACCGGAGCCTTTTCTTTTCCACTTTGTAGGCCCAATTCTTCTTACCTAAGAAAAGTCCAGGGGACGACAAAGTTTGAGAGTGTGAGACAGAAGAATAAAAGGGAATCTGGAAGAGAACATTCAGCTGCAAGCTGCCAGCTGAGTTACAAACTCTAACTCGGAGATTTCACGAAATAATGGCATGACATTTGGTGGCATGGCTTCTTCGCAACCTCGTTGGCTAGCGATTTACTGTTTCTGCTCATCCACTTACGATCCGGTCGACTTGAGGCTGCCATTCGACACGGGAACGCCGTCTGCGAGACTGTCACCGCTCTTGAGATCTGGTCCAGCGCTCTTATGAACTCTCTTTGATCCGCCCGAAACATAGTTGAAGTGGTTTGAAAGCCGTATCAGCGTGGTCTTTCTTGGTACTTTCAAGGTCCCATCATGGTGCATGGTGTATTTCCAAACACCGGCCACTACACCGCAAACGTTGCTTGACTATCTCGCGTCGCCTCCGTATCACACCCAAAGTGGTGAGGGCTTTGCTCGGAGCCAAACTTCCAGCATCCGGAAAAAAATAATAATAGACACATCTGCAAGCTCCTTAACAAAGTATTCGATCCCCCAAAGTGCGGCATCATGAGCCAGACTTGCCTGCCGTGGCCGCACCGCGGTCACAAACGACGTTGTGGTCTATTGGTGATAAGACTTGGTGATCATCTAAAAAGTGTGAGACTGTCTCGAAAGAATGGGCTCAATGAGTAGGGTTATCTTGCTCTGTCAGTCATAACGTCCCCCTGCTGTGCTACAACCCAGGGGCATCAGTCAACGATGATCAACGGTTGTGTGGCCTACCCGTCTGGGTCAAGGTCGCGTTTTGGTACTTTCACAGCCTTCAGCCATAGAATGCATGGACCCCTCGTTCAGTGGTTGTCCACGAATAAGCCGACAATTTTGCCATCACCAAAAACATGCCCGTGTTCGAGGGGCAGGATACCTTTGCCAGAGCAAAGTGCGAACCTCAAGCCCCACCACCCAGCTGGCAACTCGAGTCGAAAGAATAACGTCAGTCTGACTGCCAAAAACACGTGGTACATACCCTAGTAGAATGGGTTCGATACCAACCAAGGGGCCATCGTGCTAATAAAGTTATCCGGTACGATCTAGACACAGGACCACTGTTGCCAAAGACAAGATAGCCTCCATTGCAATGAAGGCCACCTGCCCCTTGATCGCGAAGACCATGCGGTGGCCGAGGATACACGCTTTGTCAGACAGCGCCATTTTTGCTCCCGGTGAGCTGGCCGGTGATAGCCTCGGATGGTATCTTGATGCCGCTGGGCTGTAGTGCGGGGTACGAAACCCTGTGAAACCAAAGAGATGTATAAGTTGGAGGGTGCAACAATGGGTATGGAAGGTTAAAGATTTTGGCCGCCATAATCAAACGTCTCATCCAAGTAACTTCCTAGCTGAATTCGTTCGCGCAACTGGCCGGTATAACCTCCGAGAGACGCAGCAGAGGATGCCTCAACAATATCTTCTATGGGTCAATTCGCGACCCTTGCCCGATTCTGGGATTGACGATGATTTGTGGGAGAAATGGTATATCGAAGAACACGTTCGTATCCTCACCATCCGTTCCCAGAGATGTCGAGCTCATCGATGCCAGGTCCCGGACTTAGTGAACAGCAAGGCCACCGTGCGCGCCGCCATGTATCGCGAAAACTTCGACTTCTCTCTTGAACCAAAAGAGAGGCGTCCACGCAAGTACTTGGTTATATACCAAAGCGACTTCGAAGAGCCGCTGAGTTCCAAAGAGTATTTGAATGACGTGCGGCACTCTAGCGTTATGTGGCCTGACAACAAGGCGACATCCGAGGTTGGGGATTTCAACGCAAGGAATTATAAGTTGATCCAAGACTATGATCCTGATGGAAAAGGGGAATGTGAGTATCTGGGGCCATGGCCAACGACGTATCATCTGGAAAAGATTAAGCGTTGCTGATGCCTTTTCAGCCGCCCCCCCATTTTGCCTGACCGTCGAGATGGACCCGGTGGATGAAGCCGACTTTGACAAATGGTATCGCGAAGAACATCTCGATATGCTGCACAAATTACCTGGTTATCGTCGATCGTCCAGATATGTAATTGGGCCAAAGCTGCCTATCACTGAAGGCGAGCCTCCGAAGTATCTGGCCATCCACGAAATGGATGATTTGCGAGGATTCATAGGGAAGGAGGCTGATGCCGCCAACGACACACCCTGGACAGTGAAGCATATTAAGGACAGCAAGGTATTCATTCCGAGAGGCTGGGAACTGATTTATTCGCAAGGGTATTGATCATGTACGCTGAGGGGGTTCGGAATACGAGTCTGATGTGCCGGATCCGTCTTCTAGAAATCCCGCGATGTATTGGTATACTGCTGCAACCGGCTGCTTCACATCTGGGCGCGGGATTCATGACCCGGACGCCATGATGGATTCCATCCAGGGCCAGATGCTCTCATTTGCGGGTGGGTAGCCCATGTGCAGCATTTTATCATAGAATCGAGCTTCTTTTGGGCGGCCGTAATTCATGAGAAGGATATTGTCCTCGATAGGAACGAGTCCATCGTGTGTGCCGTTGATCAGGAGCAGTCTGCAGCAGGGTCCATTGACAATGCCGTTTTCAACAAGACTGAAGTCCTTTTGAGCCTTCTCCTTCATCTCTTCCCAGTCCTTGTATCCGTACTTTGCGACATACGCTTTGCTGAGGATGAAGGGATATTCATGGTCGTCGACGTGTTCAAGCCATTCTCGACTCAGGAACAGATGGCAGCCGGCGCCTTGAGCAACGACGCCAGCAAGCCTCGAGTGGTGAGTGTGTGCTAGCCGAATGGCACAGTACCCTCCAGCCGAAAGGCCCCAAGCCATGCATTTTTGCATGTTGAAGTACGGTTGCTTGTCCATCCAGTCAAGGATCGCCGTGAACAATCGTTCATGAGACTTTGGGTCACGACGCGCTGCAGGGCAATCAGCTGTTCCTGGGATTTCGGTGATCACGCAACCCCAACCACGGGCAAGAAACTCATCAGTCCGCTGTGATGGTCAGTCTGGGAGGTGGCCTGGTGTTGCTGGTTGCCTTACCTCGGTGTTGTCTGGTCGGTGTCCATCCAAACCTGTGATCAAGAGCACTACCGGGCACTTCTTCTCACTATTCGCTCGTCGCGGTAGCCTCACATATAGCGGTATTTCCTTGCCATCGTCACCTTCAGCAGCCGTATGTGGGATCTTGACCTCTTTCATGGGAGCGTCCCACAATTCGGCACCTCTTAAGTATACTTGTTTTTGAAGCTCAAACGCCTTTCTCTTCAATCCAGAGCCAGCCTCGAGTGAAGGAAATCGAGATATTCGATATACACACGCAGCGCGCTTGAACAGAGCGGCAGCTTTCGCGCGGTCCGAGGCTTGGGTTGACATGGCTGCATCGGTGAGTTTTTCGGCGGTCGGCATAAAATACTCGGTGTATTTGTCTGTGTAGGCATCATTCACGTTATCCCTGATCAGGCTCTCGAAGATGGGTTGAAAGTCTTCGAGCTTGCCGTCGTGGAAAGGGTACACCCCCAAGGAGCAGGGAAACTTCCATTTCGTTTCCCACAGAGCTTTGACGCCGTCCAAATGCGGGTACCGCTCGTAAAACTTGTCACCGAGGATCCAATTGACCATTTTGCTGACTTCAGGAGAATGCGTGGAACAGAAAGGCCAGGGAATGAAAATTGAAGAGACGGTGAGGAACACGTCCTAGTGGTCCTTCAGAGGTGCATTAGGGAGCTTTGAGCTTCTCCCTCGTAGACCGGGATCGGTCCATTGATCACCGAACCCCGCGGGCCTCCAGCCCCCAACCTCAAGCCCAGCCTTACTTTACACCATGTTGTACACGAACTTGAAAGTCGAGATGGGTGCTGGATGCAGGGAGAAGAAGGGGTTAGAGATCAAGCAAGCCTGCAGCGCCAACACATGCCAGAACTCCAGATCCGAGGATCCTTCCGATCAATGCCAACTGCGTCCTGAACCACTGTTTCCGCTCCACATGGAGGCTCCCAATCCCTGAAGCCACACTTAGGGGCCATGCAGCTAAACTTGCTACGTACGGCCTGATCTCTTCGTTTGTACCGAAGACGGTCGCCGTTTGATGTTCACCCGCATTTGTGACCTTGAATCTTTCAAGAACAAATGGTATACTTGAGGACAGGTCATCAGCCGTAACCATGATGCGCGTGCGACACTGTTCCATTTGCTGGTTCCAGGTAGACTCATCTGATAATGGCTGAATAAGCTCAAGGATCCTCAACCATGCTCGATTGAGCAGCATCCTTGTAGCAGAGTAATTGAGCCACAGAGCAGCGTAGCCAATACCCGGGTAACTGTAGATGACGGAGGAGAAGAGGTGGCCCGCAGGCAAAGATGCATCTGTCCGCACCGGATGCCGTCGTGGATGACAGGCACTTGGGATCTGAATTGCCCATTCCTGCAATGCTTTGTCTAAGCCTGCTGCTTCGCTGTTCAGTTTCTGGGCCCTTTGGAACAGCTCATGACCGATAGTTTCCAGGTGAGAATTATTCTGTTGAACGGCCATGAGTTGATTACGAAGATTCGCAACTCGCACCAGGATGCGATCGTATTCAAGGTCTTGCCCACGCTCGCCAAAAAGTCGACCGTCCTCGAGCCATGATGGCACTGCAAGGTATCGTAGAATAGCAGAACGGATGATGCCTCGCCGAGAATGCTTAACGATATCAGTTGCCGGCTGCATGTCTCTTGGATGGCGGTGTCTCCAGATTTTCAAAATCGAAGTTGCACCGTCATGATGCGTAAAACTGTTGAATGCAACATTCGACTGGGATTCTTCTGCGTTATATGCCGAGTCTTCGTAGCGACTCATGAGGAAGACGGCAAGCAAGGCGGCATCGATATTTGTTTCGACCACAGTGGGCATCGTGATCTGCGCGTGCCGTAGTAATTCATCATACCTTGCGCATGCTTCCATTGCCGCCACTGGATGTTGCTGCGTCCGCGAAAAGACAGCGAGAGCCATGGACGAGATGGCCAAATCAATCATTGGAATTGTCGTTCCTGAGACCCATTCGACAATGCTGTCTGCAACGCTTCCTGGAAGGCACTGCACGTCCGATGGCATTCGTAAATGATAGTTCAGATAATAAATGACAGCTCGAGTTTGCAGGTCGAAGTAAAGGGCTGGGGTCAGGCTTGAGCGAGGTCCTCGCGGTCGCTTTGTTTCCCCACTGGCATAGCGATTTTCGATGTGAATCAGAAAGTTGGCCTTTTGAGCAGTCGTTTTGATGCATATTCGGCGAGACTTAATACATCTCTGACATGTCGGCTGTGTCTCGTCGCACTTTGGGATATGAAATGTCAGCTGCTGTCCATACAATGACGAGAGGCTTCTTGCCTTGATGCGTCGTATTTTACAGGTGTGACAGCCACCATTGGGATATGTCATAGCACTCGACTCAAGCTTGTTGCTTTTTCGCAGGGGTTGGATCAGTTTGGGCTTGTTAGAAGAGGCCCGACCCACGGCGTCCCCGTATCGAGGGTGGCGAGGCAGAGGGCGTGGTTTTGGATAGACTTGGTGCTGGGTTCTGCTTGATCGATCTTTCGTAGATCGTCTTCTGGAGACAAAAAAAAAACCATGTAGTGCTGTACATGTATGTGGCACTTAACTCCATTGCTTCATCTCCGTCAACAAAATACAAGAGAGCGAATCAGGCACTCCGGTGGTCTCGCTAACAGAGCTTAACTCCGTATTTTACATATTTGTCCGAAAAAGGACTAGTTGGCTCTGCTGTGAAGTGGAGGATATTTGATGTCAAGTTTGACGGGGGGAGATGACAAGCATTCTAGCAAAATAGTTGGAGGGAGTCATAAGGACGAATGATTCACAAAAATGATGTTCACACCTGCCGGGGATGTTATTAAGCCGACTGATCGCCTGTGGAAGAGCCGAAGGCCATCTGCAAAACTCCTCTCTTCATCAACCATCCACCTACCAGGTGTGAAGAGGTCCATTCAACATTGAGGCGCAAAGACAGTCTCATCCCTGTATTTCTTTAAGAACGGGATTGGGAGCGAGCCACCTGTACCTCTTTGCTCAGAGGCAGCGTTGTCCTTTGCCTCAACTGCTGCAGGCTGGACAATAAACCTCGACACGATGATGACATGACTCGTTCTCCATTTCTGAAATGCATCGATGACGCTTTTGAAGGCATCGTGCAATTTCCTGTCTCCTGAACGTCGGTCTATGATGTCCCGCAACGAAGGTATTAGTTCAACCGCTTCGAGAAAATCCCGGTGTTTCTTTGGCATATAGGCCCTCATCTCAATTAACATTTTGGATTCATGGCGAATGCCAAACATGTGATCGAGAAATTGAAAGAGAGAGCTCTGTCCTGCATTGCCCCCAACGCACTTGACGACGACCCGAGATCCGTTGCTTCGTTTGAAGGCCACGCCGTTTGGTAGTCCCTTCTCTTCCGCACCCACGCTGCCTCCAAGCATTGGGCGAATCTGTTGGAAGAAGAACATTGGATCACAATTCTGGTGCAAGACCGCAAGGGTTTGCCCCATGGTCGTAAGTGTCGCCGCGCAAATATCCAATATTGGCACCAGATCTGGTGACTCGCCCTTTTGATCTGCAGCTATTGTATCAAGCATCAACTTGATCAGCTTGCCGCCCTGGGCCTCGACCATTACAGGCACCAGATAGAAGGCATCTTCGTCCCGCGTGCTTGTGAAAGAAGCAAATGACTTGATGTCCTGAAAATCGGCTAGAGCCTGCAACGATTGCAAGCGGATATCTTGACCTCTTTGTACCCAGTTCCACAGGCAGAGCCCCGCATAACTCAAAACAGGTTTCGTCCCAAGATGGTCACAGACTTCAAGGAAGGGCTCTCCGAGACTCGCGGGAATGACTTCTGAGGGGTTGCTCTTCTCTTGCCAGAGGTAGGCTTGGGTCAAAAACCCAAGGACAACGTATGCACGCTGCCAGTGTTCGGGAGTCGTGAGATGGTCCGTGGTGAGGATCTCGAGATTGTCCACCTGCGTCTGGAGGGTCTTAGACTCGAGCAGATGTGGTAGATCAGAGATTAGTTTGCACCAGGGTGTATAGCATCCCGGTAGCTCCGTGGGCCTCACAGTCACAAACCCTGCTAGGAAATCAACATCGTAGTCTCGTGGATCTGGCAGCGCAAGAAGGGAGCGCATCGTAGCAGGATTCTAGCACCGAGAAAAAGAGATTCCGAACATTAGGAGACAGATTTATGAGCTATTGGAGTGCTTTCGCGGCAGTATATGTTCTTCCAGTCGGATCTGCTTTCGCAATGTTACGCCCTTCCTGTGACAATGCTAGTTTGGCATGCTGTCATTGGTCAGATGTCGGGGTTTGCCTCTGCCTTTTAGCGTTTTTGCCAGTGTTATGGCCTTCTTTGGGGTCTTCATTTCCGGTTCCAGTGCCATGCGAGACGAGCAATAGTCTCCATACTGACCGGACTTGAAGTGAGAGTAAGGGGTTTGTCGAGTTTAGAAGGAGGGTGAGCCGGTGATAGAAGAGAAATTCATCTCGCAGAAATGCGTGGGGCCGAAATATGTGAGAATCAGTGCAGGGGAATAAATTACCAGCTATGGGATTGAACCAGAGCTATTTCTTAACATGGTCTGAAAGGTGTAAGGAGTCCATGACCAAATTGAAGTGGACAAAGTTGGACAACCTTGAAGGTATGAAAAAGTCTTGGGGCTCCGGTCTCCAGCTAAGCACAAGGCCGCCAAGCCGCCAAGAATATATCATCACGTGCAACCGTGATCCCTCGTCTATTTGGTGGAGTCGCGGGCAGAGCGTTGTAGCATGCTGCGTGTCTTCTTGACTATCAACCAATTTCATTTTTCAACTGCAGTGTACTCACCACGGTGATCAGTCCTTTTTGATCGCCCTAACTTGATCGGCTGCATTGGTTTCGACGACAAAATGACCTCGCGCGAAGCGTCTGCGGCACCTTCAGAAGGCGACACCATCGACGATCAGATGGAAGACACGAAACCGGACCCGGCAGAACTTGAACAAGAGCAAGTTGAAACCGCAGAAGAGCCGTCTGCTGGCCCAACCCCTACGAGCGGTCGTCGAGCACCCCGAAAGACCGTATCGGCAAGAAAAGCAAGACCGCGAAAAGGTGCAATTTGGATACATGAACAACCTCACGAAGGCACTGAGGATGAGGGCAGCGTCATCTCGGCGTCTCTTTCACGAACCAAAAAGTCAGAGGCCACTCCCGAGTCAGAGCCTAGAACAATAGGAACCGCGGTCGGCACGAGAAGACAGGCTAATGGCACTGTTGGCTCCGTTTACTCTGGGAGCAAGGTTAGACACATCAAGAAGCCCGATGGCACACCTCTATGGCGTAAGGAAATCCAGTACGAATTCTTGCGCATCGTGATTGAGGACACGAAGCCAGTGTTCACGCGAATCAGTGATGGCAAAACCGGCTGCTTCTTCTCGGACATATACGTTGACTGCATGGCAAGGAGTTCCAAGACAAGCAAGATTCTCAAGGACAGGCTTCAGGTCGATCGACAGGCTGCCCACAATATGGCCATGATATGTCTTCTTGTCAACGTCGGCCGCATGAATACGACATTGAACTTTTTCCCGGAGATGAGAGCGCAGCTAAGAACCTACCATTCCATCCCTTCTCTGCAAGCGTACAAAAGCCAAAGAGACTACAAATCACTGCAAGATGCCCCAAGGCTGAAGAGCATCCTCAAGGGCGCAAGCGAAGACACCGATGAACCTCGGACACTAGCCGCAATCAAGGCTAAACCAGTTCCAAGAACGAATCCGGTCAATTTGATATTCGTACTCTCCCAGTTTGCGCCCAAGATCAGCGAGATGCACTTCACTGATAAAGTCGATTTCTTTGATCTTGCCATGCGACCAACCATCTCATCCGGGACCAGGGCCAGAGCGTTTTTGTGGCTCATGTGGTGGTATCTCGAGTCAAACTTCACAAAGGAAGACGCCCTGCGGAATCCGTACGGTCCTGGAGAGTATAGAGAAGATGAAGATCCCGACGATCCCGACACAATACCACAACTGGTTCCCAAATTGACTACCATCACAGAAGCAGAGGGTGATGCTGAGAATGTCGACCCGCCAGAAGAGATTGCCTTTGCAGAGAAAATGACCCAAGAAAGGCGGAGGATCATGTTGGAGAACGCCAATGAACCACCGTTGGTTATGGCTGACCCTGGAAATCCGGATCATAAAGCCCTGAAACGTCTCAAGAGGAGCGCCGCATACGGGGACGAGGACTCCCTTATCTCTGACGCAGATTCACGGGCAAGTCCCGGTGTAGGACGTTCCCCAGTGCCTGAATCTCTTGGTCACCATGGACACGTTATGAGTAGCGCCCTTGGGGGTCAAGCGGATAGCCTGGATGACGATTGGGAAGCAGTTGACCCGCACCCTGGCCGCGGACGATACAAGCGTGTCAGGGGGAAGAACACCCCGACACGAAGCCGAGGGGGTGGTAGACAGAGCGATGGGCCCAGGAGCTTGCTCAAATCCGGTCGCAATGCTGGGACTCCAGACACAACGGATCGGTACCGAGGGACCCCTCAACCCCTGCAGCCCGGTAGTGGTAATCATCCAGTCATCGGTCAGTTTGGCGCACACCGAGGCAAGAACGAGATTGACGTGCTAGGGGCCCGACATGAGCCGGCAGCCGGTGGTACAGGTACCAAGGCCAAGCCCAGGACAGGGTATCAGCGCGAACTAGAGGAGCATAGACAGCGTCGAGTCGAATGGTCGCTCCGGAGACGTCGTAGGCAGGCCCTCAAAGAAGCACGGCAGTTGAGGGAAGGGTGCAGGTGGCTGCTAAAGGCAGCTAGACGAGTCAGCTCGCTCCCTCCGACGTATGACAGCGAAGAGGAAGAAGAGACAGGAGGAACTGGCTTTGCCGGTCTTCTTGGCCACAGATGGCATGGCGAGAGTGTTGATACCGAAGCTGGACCTGTTCCTGTTGGCTACGAACCCGACGATTACGGTGAAGAAGTGGAAACATGGACCAAGGTACTGAGGAAGACAGGGAGGCGCCTGGAAGTCTGGGGTGGAGACCGTGATCTGGCGGTATACCATGCCCGACTCCAACGCCACCAGGCCGCCGAAGACAATCTCACTGCAGCTCCCTCTCAACCACTCACAAATGGGACACGCAAGAAGCGACGTGCGCGTGAGTCTCCGCCACGCCAGTCCGTCCCTGAAGTGGTGAGGTCCGCGCAGTCTACACGAGCTAGAGGGAGGGATCTCAATGATGAAATCACCCAAGATCTGCTTGCTGAGCGAAGTGACGAGGATATGGACGATGACGACTCACATGCCGATGGGGACGGGGAGGGAGAAGAAACCGACTTGGACATGGATTGATTGGCCCTTCTGTCAGCGCGTTCTTCGCA